TATTATTATTATTACGTCATCATGCATGTGAATATCATTAATATCATTACATCCCCCTTTTTTCAAAATGAAAGGCTAACTCTACCTATTTTAAATCACTACATATCAATTACTGTGTCGTGAGAATAACAAATTTGAACAACAAGGTTCAGAGTCCACAGTTCGATACAAAGTATCAATGTTCAGTACTTTACGAAGTCTTCAAACTTCTTTGGTGGCTTTACCAATCTTCCACTTCTCGTTGTAACTACAGTCGATGGTACTTCAGGTTGTTCAGATTTCTTTAGTTCCTGTTTAGCTTGCATACTTCTTATTCCTGTGATGGGTGGTTCTTGCTCTTCGAAGTAATCTTTTGCATCAAAAAGTTTTGGTTCTTCTGTCTTTAAGAGATGTTGGCGATTTCTCCTAAATGATACGAGCGTGGCTCAGGTAGTTTCTTTACTACTTGTGAGGGTTTTCACTGTTTGTCTTCCTGTAAAATTGTTGTCTTTCTTTTCTGTCTTTCAGCTTTTCAATTATTTCTTGTGGGTCACAGCTTTTTGGAATAAGCATCCCCGCTGTCTGAGAAACTGTAGTTCTCAGTCTTAGCATCTGTGCAGGTGACGGATTTACTCCATATATGGGTGTGTTTCTGTAAGCTAATAGGGTTGTGTAGGGGACTTTTACTTTCTCTAGCATGGCCTTAACTGTTCTGACTGTTCTCTCTGCTTGTCCATTTAAYTTGGGATATCCTGGGCTTGATGTCACATGTTGGATGCTCCATTCTTTTGCAAACTCCTTGAATTCCTTAGAAGCATAACATGGTCCGTTGTCCTAAATCAGTATGGCTGGTATTCCGTATCTAGCAAACTGGGATTTGAGTGCATTTATAACAGCCGCACTAGTGAATGAGCTCAAGTGAGTGAGTTCAGGCCATTTTGAGTAATAGTCTACTGTTACGATGTAGTTTCGACCATCCTTTTGGTTCATTTTGGGACATTATAGAACATATCTTGCTCTTCGTAGTGTCTTGTTGATTCCTAGGTTACCACTGTGCAATTTGTCTAACATGTCGTTTCTCAGCTCTTGGGGTACTATGATATTCTCTCCTTTAAGAAGTAATCCTTGTAAGACTGTTATCTCTTCTCTAATGTTCCAGTAATCTGTCCATCCTACCATAACTACACTTTGAAGTAGTGAGAGGGTTATGTTCTTTGCTGTTGCTTCAGCAAATCTATCTATCTGGGCATCTTAGACGATATGCTCTAGTACACTGATCTCCAACACTTCTGTGTTTACTAGTGTTTTTTTCAAGTACGCTCTTGATAACGTGTCAGCAAAATACATTTCTTCTACAGGATTGTAGGTTAGGGTGAATTTTGGGTAGCACTGCAACTGTACGAGCATCCTCTAAAGTCGGAGTGGTGCTGCATGTAGGGGCTTCTTTGTGATTTACTCTAATGGTTTGTGATCTGTCCCTACCTTGACGTCACGACCAATAATGTACTCATCAAATTTGGCGCATTCAAGAAAACCAACGGCCAAAAGTTATTTTTCTGCGTTGCTGTAAGTGCTTTTGAAGCATACGCTACAAGGCGATCATTTTGGATTAGAACTGATCCCAATCCTGTCGAACTTGCATCCACCTGTAATGTGAGTTTTTCAGCCGGATTATGATATGCCAGTACTAGGGCTGCTGACAATGTTCTCTTCATTGCTTGGAAGCTTTTCTCTTGCTTCTCATCCCAGTGCCAAACTGTTTCGTTTAGCAGTAGTTGTCTTAGAGGTGCTGTCAATTCTAAATTGTTGGGAATGAACTTGCTCACATAATTAAGCACTCCAAGTAGTATTTGGAAACCTGTCTTGTCTGTTAGTCTAGGCATTTCTAATATAGTTCTTAATTTTTCTGGATCGGTTTTCAAGCCTCTTTCTGTGAAGATATGACCAAGGTACTTTACCTCTTTTTGTTTGATTTTTGACTTTAGCTTTAAGTTGTTTTGTCGAGCACGCTGTAAAGCTTGTAATCTTGCATCATGTTCTGTCTCGTTTCGTACATGTACCAGTATATCATCCATCATGACTTCGACGCCATCTTGTCTTAAGATTTAATTCCCCTCGGCATCGTAACAGGTAGCGTAATCGAACAAAGGGTGTATTTCATGAATGTTAGTAGCTTTTGGCTCTCTTTATCCAATTTGATTTGAAAGAAGGCTTTTTCTGCATCCAAAGTTTTAACATATTTAGCTCTATCACACCTTGCTGCTATTTCTTCAACTGTGGGTAATGTATAGTGTTCACGTTTAATTACCATATTTAGATCTCTGGGGTCTAAGCATACTCTTACTGATAAATCTGGCTTGTGTGCAACAACTGTGCTGTTCAACCAATCTTTCTCTATTATTCCTGAATATACCATGCGATTTAATTCTTGTTTCAACTTACTGCGCTTAGCATGTGGTATCCTGCGAGGTAGGTGGACTACAGGAGGAATATTCGGATCAACTGTGATGTGGTTTTCTCCTGGCGAACATCCTATGCCGGAGTAAACATCTGCATAATTCTTTAGAAGACTTTCAATGTTCACATAGTTCACACGGTATATTAGTCCCATTTCGTCGCAAGTTTCTCGTCCTAAGGGTGGTTTGTAGTCTCCATTCACAACTTGAAAACATACATTTTTCTATGGGCATGATAAAGCTTTTAGATTAACTTTCGAGCTTTACTGTTGTTGAATCCAATGGTTTCGAGGTAATCTTGTCATACAGGCTGTTAGATAAAACATTTCATTGAGCTCCACTATCTATTTTAAACTTGACTTGTAAATTTCCAAAGGTAACTCTCTTGACCCAGTCTCTCCCCTCCTCCAAGTGATCCAATGAAAATTATTTCAAAATCATTTAAACCTTGATCCTCTACCAAATCTTTTCCTTGATCTTCATGTTCAATGACACTGTTCTCCGGTTTCTTTTGCTGTCTAGTTTTCGTTTGACACATCGATGCGAAATGATTTAACTGAACAAATAGGTTACAGTTTAGATCTTAATGTAAATACTGTAAAGTTATTGCTGGAAAATCTGTGATTCTTTTATTCATTCGGTTAACATTCTACAGTAATGCTTTTTGTAGAATCAGAATCAACACAACAAACTCAAACAGAGAAACACGTACAGCGCGATGCGCTAAAGTATGTCCCCATTTATTTTATAGCGGTAAAGTATTTAAACGAGCCATGCCGACAGTCTGTCTGGGGTGATATCCAGCCTCGAGTCAGTATTGCTTCAAAGGAAGCTTYATTCGTCTGTACAGAGAAAAGTCGCTGCCTATTTTAAAAAGTAGTTGTAGTATTACTGTATTCAGTTTTCTCTGTTCTACTGTTATATCTACCGTCCTGTACTACTGTATAATTTAAAGTTTTAAAGTACTACTAAAGTTGAGTTATAACTGAGCTCCAATAGTATAACAAGTTTTAGAATTATTATTTTAAAATACAATATGCAGTTTCGTACTGATTAACAAAACACGTTTGAAACATATTTTTGACAGCCCCCTTAATACGGCCACCCCGTTAAAACGGCCACTTTTAAATGTCCCTTCGGTGGCCGGATTTACGGGGTTGCACTGTATGTGCAAATGGTTGCGGCTCTGTGGAGGTTTTTCTCACTTTACAGTATCGATCAAGTTTAACTTTTCAACTTTTCAACTTTTCAACTTTTCAACTTTTTCTTGTTTTTGTTTTTCAATACAAAGACGATGTATTGTTTGTTTATTAATTCATACGTTCTTAAAGTTCTTAGGGCAACCATAAGCAGGAAATCGAAGGTCAAGAGAACAMTCTAATAATGGTAAATGGGGAACAGTTTGTGATTACAGCTATAGCTCAAACGATGTAAATACTGCTAAGGTAGCATGTCGACAACTTGGTTTTAACAAGACTGTTGGATATTCGTACCGCGGACGAGGGACGGGTAAAGTATGGCTGTACGCCATGTCGTGTTCAGGGTCAGAGGCCTCACTTGGAAGCTGTTCTCACAGGGGATGGGGAAATGTTTACTCTGAATGCAACGGTCACACATATGATGTTGGTGTCGTTTGCGGTACTAACTGAATATTACTTTTATTTTGCTTATGTGCTGTCGATAACTTGGTTTCATCAGGACTCTAGGATATTGTTTGTGAATATGGCATGTATACATGGCATGTATTGTTCAGGTTCAGAGTCCTCACTTGGAAGCTGCACTTACAGAGGATGGGGTAGTCTTTCATCTAGCTGCAATGGTCACACATGATGTTCGGGTGTTGCTATATGCATTGGCTTACAACATATATTTAACACATGGCTCCAATTTTTGCATTAATTCTATTGAAGCCCGGTTTTCTCGGTTTAACGTCCATTTTAACGTTTCATATTTGATTTAATAATGGTCAAGATATGAATATTTTCTTAGTTGATAATAAGAAAAAACTATATCATATCAAAGCTAATCCAGAGTTTGAGCAAAACAACGAGGGGAAACAGTCTACGATGATAGCTGTGAAATAAGGGACCTGCCAAGGTTGCAATTTTTTTTTCATAGGCAGCAAACTAATTATTTTCTCACAAAGATAAATTTTCTCACTTCTCACAGATGGAGATGGAAAAGAACATGGAATGGTGTCAGCATATGATGCAAAGATTGCGCTCGTACGTGGTTTCACTTCATTCAGAATTTACTTTTTCGTAGAATCTGATTCATGGTTTGGTATCTTATTATAGGTTTTTATGTGAAATACACAGTCCTTTGTTTGCTCTCAACATATCTTTCCTTCATTATTGGATTAGTCTCAGATTACAAGCATATCAGTAGTACCCTGCAAATAACAAGAAATAGAGAAACTTCGATTTTCATAGCATTCCAYAAAGCATGCAGTAAACTTGTTTTCATCTTATCCTCGGAATAGAAAAAATATTTAATTTTCAGTCTTTTAGTTAAAAGAAAGACAGATAGTGGGGAACAGTTTGTCATGTGTATGGTCGCTGGGATATGCCTGATGCCAAAGTCGCATGTCGTCAACTTGGTTTTGCCAAAGCTGTAGGGACTTGGTACTATGGACAAGGGACGGGTAAAGTATGGTTAAACAACATGCAATGCACAGGATCAGAGGCCTCGCTTGGAAGCTGTAATCACGATCGATGGGGAAATGTTCACTCTAGCTGCAACGGTCACGCATATGATGTCAAACTACTTTTTGTTGTACGGTATTCATTCTCATAGATTAATCATTAATTAAACGTAGAAGATATACTGTTTGGTTATTAGGGCAACATTAGCAACAATTCGAAAGTTTAACAAAGTTAACTRTTGTGTTTAAAGCACACTCTAATAATAGGTAACAGTTTGGGACTACACTTGGAGCTCAAACGATGTAAGTACGATACTGTTATGGTTATAATTATAATAAACTCTTCATTTAAAGAGGGTAACACGGAATAGTTACAAAATAACTAATAAGCTAGTGGCCTTTTATCTATAAAACTAAAATAAATAAAACATACAATAAATATAAAAACTAATATGTATACATGCACTTAAAGCTAACTCAAACCCTAAATGTCGTAACAAGAAATCTAAGAAGAAGAAAAAGAAGATATATATATATCAAAAGATTATGTAATTAAATATATAAAAGCTAAAATACATGCTGTCTTAATAAAAGAATTACACTATAAAATGATTTAATTCCTGCTGACACTTAAATAAGATATCCTTATAATTGTTTTTGAATGCCACTAGTGATTCAGAATTTCTAAGATCTAAACTTAGACTGTTCCATAGTTTTTCAGGTAGTAACCGCAAACGTCCTACCACCTTCTGTCATATGAATAAACTTAGGGAAAATAAGATTCATATAACTATACCTAGTAGTACGACTATGACGCTGACTATTGAGCTTTAGACAATACTCAATGTATGTCGGGACTTTATCCTTAAGACGTTTATAAGCTAGACAACATTTAGCTATTTTGGCTTCTTCATAAAAGGGAAGCCACTGTAATTTATTAAAGAAATTAACGCTAGAGGCCTGATTATTGGAATCACAAATTACCCTAGCTACTCTCTTTTGCAGTTTAAGAACACGGCCTAGATTATCCTTATCACAGTYAGTCCAGATATTACTAACATAATTCAATACTGATCTAATCATAGTATTAAATGGGTAAACATGGTTACATGGGTAAACAAGATGTTATCCTTTTTAATATGCCAATTCTCTTTTTTGCAAAGTTTGTCTACATGGGGATTAGAGGAAAGTTCAGAGCCAATTTCAAGTCCCAAAAGCTTAACACTAGGAGCAAGTTCAAGTTCAGTTACTTTAACGAATAAATTCATCTCACCATCAATCTTTGAGGGGAGACGCTTGCCAGTGATAAGCATAGACTTGGTTTTGCTCTCATTGATTGAAGCAATTGAAAAGTTAAGAGTAAGAGGCTGCTTGTGGACAATAACTTTGTTTTAACAAAACTGGTGCATATTCGTCACGAGACGAATAGAATATGGCATATCTTAAAAGATATGCTTTACTTAAAATGGAAGGGAAAGCAGCTGTCTCAAATAAGATGTTGGTTATGTGTATTTATTTCGAACAAGAGTTTTATTGTCCAATGCAAATGGGAAACGTTTTGTTATTATGGTTCCTATTACTTTGATATGCCAGATGCCAAGGTCATATGTCGTCAACTTGTTTCTTATTCAAATTATAGATTCACAAATCTAGGCGTTCACGGCATTATACAAGTCTACCACAGTGGTCAGTGAGGAACAGTGTGTCAAGGTGGTTTCGGAAATTACTTCGAAATGAATGATGCCAAAAATGCTTGGACGAGGAACGGGTAAAGTATGGCTATACAGAATGGGATGTACAGKCTCAGAGGCCTCAATTGGAAGCTGTTCTCACAATAACTTTAGGTACAATACCCCAGGAAACAATTTGTTATTATGGTTCTTCCTATACAGTCAACTTGGTTTCACCGAGAGACGTGTAAAGTCTGGCTAAACAATATGCAATGCACGGGCGCAGAGTCCTCACTTAGAAGCTGTTCTAACAGTGGATGTGGGAAACGTTCACTCTAGTTACAACAGTCACACGTGGGATGTTGGTGTTATACAAGTTTACCACAGTGCTCAATGGGGAACAGTGTGTGCATATAATTATGGTGACTTCGATATGAATGATGCAAAAGTTGCATGTCGACAACTTGGCTTTACGAAAACTGTAGGTTATTTGTACTTTGGACGAGGGTCGGGTAAAATATGGCTGTGGTACATGCAGTGTTCAGGCTCCGAGTCCGTGCTTGGAAGTTGTACTCACAATGGATGGGGAAACGTTGGCTCTGAATGCAACCGTCACAAGTATGATGTTGGTGACATCCCAATKTTCAAAAAGTGAGGAATCAACAAACTGTTTCAAATTGTTAGATTTTGGGCAAGGTTGAATCCTATCACTTACCACAATAAGCCAACCATTCAATGTATCACAATTGTTTGCAAAAGAACCTTTTTAATTGTTTTGTCTTGCTTTTACTAAGGCTGTGGGATATTGGAAACATGGTGAATTATAGCATTATGGCATTCGGAGGCACTATGCTGTATCGGCACAACAGCGGCATCTACAACACTTGGGATGTTTGTCTTCTGAATGCATATTGTTCGTTAACATTAAAAACATACTCTGTCGGCAATACCACATTATTAAATTGTATGGATCGAGAACTTGTTTAGCATTACGTCTTTACCTACACTGATTTTGTTTACAATATTTTAAAATACTAAAAAAAATATGCTTAATATTACCTCTAATTGAATATTTCTCACGACAATCATATATATTGTTCACATCCATCACAATAATCAATGGGGAACAGTGTGCCATTATGTTTATAACAACTAGGATATGAATGATGCCAAGGTTGCTTGTCGTCAGCTTGGTTTTACCAAAACTGTAGGATATTGGTTGTGGGGACGAGGAACGGGTAAAGTATGGCTGCAGAACATGCAGTGTACAGGCTCAGAAGCCTCACTTGGAAGCTGTTCTCACCGTGGATGGRGAAACGTTGGCTCCAACTGCAACAGCCACACGTATGATGTTGGTGTCGTGGTGAAGTATTGTTATATCGAAACATTCATTACTTGAGTGCTTTTCCATGGTCCTATTTAACAAAATAATATTTTTCATAATACGTTTTATAATCATAATCGAAAACCGTGAATACAGTTTGACTTGTAGGGTGATTGGAATGTGAAATTGACATATTTAGATTCTTATTAGATTTAGTGAAATAATCACTCGCAAATCATTATGCAGTGTACAGGCTCAGAARACTCACTTGGAAGCTGTTTCCACCGTTTTTTGTTTTCAAAATGGTCATTTGAAAACAATTTGTGATTTTAACAATATTTTATGAGGTACGAGGAATCGCAGAGTAAAATGGGGCCAACTTGGATCTATTCGGGACTTTGGACTAGGGATGGGCTTACTACCAAAGTTTATACGCAATAGTGGACGGTGGGGAACAGTGTGTGATGGACCTGGTGGTTGGTACTGGGATATGAATGATGCAAAGGTTACATGTCGACAACTTGGCTTTACCAAAACTGTAGGATATTGGGTCTATGGACGAGGAACGGGTAAAGTATGGCTAAACATTATGCAGTGCTCAGGCTCAGAGACCTCACTTGGAAGCTGTACTCACAATGGATTGGGAAATGTTCCCTCTGGGTGCARCAGTCACACATGGGATGTTGGATAGTCTCGATAAGATTGGACCGATTACTGACCTTTTTGGCAGTAATATGTAATATGTCAGATACATGATTGGGTTGTGTTCCGTAATATTTGCCTCAGATCTTATTGAAGTCACAGTCTTAAATAGTGAAAAGTATGTCACGATAGCCTGGTATGCATGATGCTATAGTTGCATTGCGTCAACTTGTTTTTACCAAATCCATTGTTTACATATTCGCACGATGGACAAATGACTGAAAAAGTATGGTACTACGCCAAGTCGTGTTCAGGATTTCACTCGGAAGCAGCTTGCAGCTGGCATGGGAAAATGCATCTTATAGCCCTCTGATGAACTTTGGGAGCAAAAACGAATATCACGAGCAAACGCAATTATATTAAAAGCCTAACTATAGCAATTTCAATTAAAAATATTTGAAATTTTGTGCGATAAATAATCGAAGATTTGCTCTTTTGACACTCACCGTATAAAAATGTATTAGCAAAACAGTGCTGAACTCAAGCTCCTGTAAAAGATAGTTATGCTGAAATCTAAGAAAATTATAGTGTAGTCGAGCTAGAGCTATTTTTTTGTCACAAATTGCATTTTCCTTCCTTTTGTTGTTTTAACTTCTTGTCAGAATCAAGTAAACAAACGTCACTAAACGTTTACCATTCTTGCACTGAGAGCTCCTTGGTTTTCATGTGTACCTACCCCATGRAGGTTAGGTACGAGACCGAGGAGCCTTGGGTACGAAAATGAAATTTTAATTCTTATAATGTACGCTTGTGCAATTTTTTTGAATTTTGAGTAATGAAATAATTTTTTTTCTCCCATAGAAAATATGCTACTAGTAGGATGTCACTGGGATGAAGCAACGCAAAACCAATCCGGTACAATGCTGAACAGGAAAGTAAGTAGCCAATATAAGTGTGCAATAACATTTCATAATTCTAATTTTTAACATAAAGTTTAAATGCTTAGCATTTATTAAGCTTTTTCATAGCGGCTTGTGGAAAATGGAGACGATCAATTTATATCTTAGTACAACATGGATTTTTTTTTTGGCAAACTTTCCATGCGTGCGTTGTTCGGCCGCTTTTATTTCTTATTCCCTTATCTTACTCCCAGCTTGATGCTTACATCTTCACAATTGTGAAGAAAGTTAAGTCTGACGATGGGAACTTTTGCCCATCTACATCCTTAAGACCTATTAACTTTGCATCTATAATATTTATTTTTAAAAAAACATAAGAGTAAACATAAAAGTATAGTGTTTCAAGTAGATTAACATATGTGTAAAGATGTTTGCTTATTGATGAGGATTGACTCGGATTGCATGCACAACGATTCTAGTTTAATCACAATCCAACATGGCTTCCCTAGTCTAACACAGGTAGCCCATACATGTTTACAAGTAATACCGCTGATCATTACAACTTCCCCCTAGTGAGGAAAGTAACAAAACAACATAAAACAACGACTGATGGGCACTCTGATATCGTGCCGTCAGAAACAATAAATTTTAGAGTCAATGTTCACCAGTCAGTGACATAGTCTTTGAAATGAGTCGGTTTCTTGGTCAGGATTGGTCTCTACCTCTCTACTTTCAGTTTTGCTTTCAGGGTAGAGTGGTGGACATTCCTCAGTTTCACTTTCGACTTCACTTGCTTGGTCTGCAATGTCGATGACTAATGGTCTGTTTTCAGGAGATTTTATGATCATTTTTCGGTTCCTTCTATACTCGCGGCCTTCATCAGTCTCGATCCAGTATGATCGAGGGGTTTCTGCACCTTGCTTCACTATGCCTGGCTTCCATAGTTTCCCCATTTTAACTCTGATCCTGTCGCCTTGCTCGAGTGATGGCAGGGGTTTGGCATGCTGATCATAATAATACTCTTGCCTTTCTTGTTTCTCTGATTGTTTCTTTTTGGACAGTCTTGGGTTAATGACTTGTGGTTGTAGTTGTGCATCAGTGGTCGGGATGGTTGTTCTGAGTCGTCTACTCATGAGAAGCTGTGCTGGGGATCCGACTCCATCAATAGGAGTGTTTCTGTACTCTAAAAGAGCAATATATGGGTCCCGTTTGTCTTTCTTGGCTTTTGTAAGCAGTGATTTCACGGTTTGAACTGACTTCTCGGCCAAACCATTTGATTGTGGATTTAGAGGGCTCACCGTAATGTGTTTGAATCCCCATTGTTCAGCGAACAGTTGATATTCCTTGGAGGAATTTTGGGATAAATTGTCACTTATGACTTCCGAAGGGATTCCGTGCCTGGCAAAGATGGATTTGGTGTGCATGATCACTGTTGTTGACTTGGTGTTTGCTAGCCTGGCTTCTTAAAAAGATTGTGAGTGATAGTCTACTATGACTAGGTATTCCTCATTGTCCCATAAGAATAGGTCTGTCGCTACCTTTTCCCATGGTTTGCTTGGCAGGTTGGAAGGGATCATGGGTTCCTTTGTGTTTTGATGTCTGTGCTCTAAGCAGGAGGAGCTCTGGGAGATCATGTCTTGGATCTGGGCATTCATCACAGGCCAATAGACCACGTCTCTAGCTCTATTTTTGGACTTTTCAATCCCCATGTGGCCTTGATGTATTTTTTCTAGCATGTCCTTTCGCAGAGAGGTTGGTACTAGGATTTTGTTGCCTTTCAGTATGATGCCATCAGCTTCTGAAAATTCATCTCTGATGTTCCAGTAGGCATGGACGCTTGTTACAGTTTCTCCCTTGGTTTCTGGCCATCCTGATATAATTAGTTTTTTAAGATCCTGAAGGTCTGGATCTTCTTCAGTGGCTTTCTTAAATTCGTCAAGCTTGTTCTGGGAGGCTGGGAGACTTGAGGCGATCATGTGAACATGATCTTCTCTTCTATGTTATTTGCCGTCTCTGGTAGAGGACCTCTCGATAGCAGGTCAGGGAGAACTTGTTCTTTTCCTGGTGTGTAGTCAAGGTTATAGTCATATTTTTGCAGCCTTAGCAGAATTCTTTGAAGGCGAGGTGGTGCAGATGCCAGTGGGTTTTTTTACGATCATTTCCAATGGTTTGTGGTCAGATCTCACAGAGACCTTCTTCCCATACGTATATTGATTGAAGCGCTCTAGACTGAACTGGACAGCCAGCAGTTCCTTTTCGATTTGGGCGTATCTGGTCTCAGCATCCGTTAGAGACCTGGATGCGTAAGCGATCGGTGATTCATCCTGGAGTAAAACACCTCCCAGGCCCGATGGTGATGCATCACAGCTGACAATAACTGGCTTCTCTTCATCCAAAAACTTTTAGACAGGGCCTCCATTTTTAGTAAGTATGTCTTTCAGMTCTTGAAGAGCTTTCTCGTGTTCATATGTCCATTGTTCATATGGTTCCGTGGTGGTCGCTAGGTTGGAAATAAACTTTCCGAGATAATTTATAGTCCCAGTAGCCTCTCAACACGGATTTTCTCGTCATCTGGCCTTATTCCTTCCTTGGTTAACTTGTTCCCAATGTAGGTAACTTCCTCAGTTTTGAATGAACATTTTTCCTTGTTTAGTGTTAAGTGGATGCTCTTGCATCTGTCCAGTATAGCACGAAGACGCGTGTCATGTTGGTCTTCATTCTCTGCATGTATTTTGATGTCGTCAATGTCTGTTCCCACCCCACTCACATCACCAAAGTGCTGGCTCATTCTTTTCTGGAACACTTCTTGTACTGATGAGGTTCCAATTGGGATTACTTGATAGCAGAAGCGTCCAAAACGTGGTGAGTAGTTGGCTTTCCTCATCGAGAGGGATCTGCCAGTAACCTTTGTTGGCATCTAATTTAGTAAACAACTGAGTATTTGCCATTCTGGCAGTGATATCTTCGATTGTGGGCAGTTGGAAGTATTCTCCCTTAGTTGCTTCATTGAGATGCTTGGGATCTAAACATATCCTTAGGCTGCCATTCGGTTTTTCAACAATGRCCATTGAATTGACCCAATCTATTGGTTCATCTACCCTCCGAATCACACCGAATTTTTCCATGTCCTCCAACTCCTTCTTGACTCTGTCGCGAAGGGCTGCTGGGATACTTCTGACCGGATTTACAACAGGTTTTACTTTCGCGTATAGTTCTATACGATATGGCTTGTCTAGGCGTCCTAGACCAGTGAAGACACTTATTTCATGGATGAGAGTATATGGACCGCGTGGCACTAATGAAATAGTTGAAGATATAGAAGTAAGTTATAGTGCTTGGGAACGAGGTTATTCCGGGCGACAGCCCTTGGAATTAAGTTCGGAAAAATTAATTTCCGACCTCGCTGGGATTCGAACCCACGACCTTCGGAATTGTACTACCGATGCTCTTCCAGCTGAGCTAGAGGTCAGACTGAGAGCAGGCCGGGTGAAATAGATTTCATGATCACTTCCTCTTTCAGGTCTTGTGGGGATTTTTGAATTCCTTGTGTTGTCTCTGGATTCTCCTCATTCCTTTGAGTGGTCAAGATGACTTTGATCAGTCCTAAGTCTTGCGAGGCTGTTAGTCCTAATAAACCCGGTTGGCTGGTCTCAATGATTTGGAATGTTGTTTCATGTCTTGTTTTTGTTCTGGATTGTACTGGCAGGTTAACAGTACCCAGGACCTTCAGGTGGTTGTCTAAGTAGCTGACTAACTTGTGATTGCAGGGATCCATGTATGGTTTGTCTCCAACTATCTTCTTGAGTTGCTTGAGAGGTAGAATGTTAACTCGTGCTCCTCATTGTGTCTATCTTCAGTTTTGTCATGTGTCCTTTGATGGCTAATGTGACGAAACACTCTTCATTATGAATGTGTGTGTTGATGGATCCCATAAAAAATGAATTATTCTCCTCCTGTTGTTGTTGTAAGCTATCTGTTTTCTTGTTGATGGATCCCATACAAAATGAATTATTATTCTCCTCCTGTTGTTGTTCTAAACTATCTGCTTTCTTTCTTGATCTGCACATTTTTGGAAGTGATTTAGCCTTTGACAGTGGTGGCATGTTTTGCCATAGGCCGGGCATTCACGAACAGCATGTCTGGTTCCACAGTTCCCACAATTAAACTTCCTGGCAGTTGGCTCATTTTTTGGATTATTGTTGGTTAATTTGTTGGGTTCGGGTTGCTCGAATTTTCCTCGCCCAATTCCATGTACTTGAGTGTCATTATCTATTTCTTTCATTTGTCGTTCAGTCGCTTCCGCTGATCTTACTACATCTAGTGCTTTTTCCAGTGGAAGGTCGGGTACCCTCAACAGTCTCTCTCTTGTTTTCTGAATGTTGATACCCAGGACTATTCGATTTTTAATGAGCGAGTTTTTTAGAGTCGCAAATTCMCAGGACTCAGATAGTTTTCTTAGAACAGTCACATATTGAACTATGGTTTCCTCCCTTTCCTGTGCTCTGGAGTTGAATTTGTATCTCTCATAGCTTACATTTTTCTTCGGTTCACAGTGTTGCTCTAATTTTTCGATAACCTTGTCGATTTTTTTATCGTCTCCTTCTGCATCCCAAGTTAAAGTGTTGAAGACATCGATAGCATCGTTTCCTATCACTGTTAATAATGCAGCTACTCTCGTTGCGTCGTCCTTCGAGCTGATTCCGGTGGCTATTTCGTAGTTGGAGTATTTCTGCTTCAATTATTTCCAGTTTTCAGATGTTTCCTCCACTTAGGTAAAGCGATTCTGGAGGTGGTAAACCAAGATGCGTGACAATTTGAGGCGATGATTCTACAATTTCAGGCAGATATTCTTGTTCTTCTTGTTCGTTTTCTACTATGAGTTGACCCTCTTCTTCTTGATCGCTAGACATCCAATTTCTAAAGAATTTTTGCTAAAGTGATGTTCGGAGCGGGGATGAGGCTTTCTTGGTTCTTTTCCTTCTGACACCATGTATTGATGAGGATTGACTCGGATTGCATACACAACGATTCTAGTTTAATCACAATCCAACATGGCTTCCCTTGTTTAACACAGGTATCCCATACATGTTTACAAGTAATACCGCTGAACATTACAACATGTAAATCTCATTATCGATGAATGCCAATAGAGGGAGAGCACGAGGGTAGCGATAGGGAAAAGAATCTGATTATTAGCTTTACTTTATGAATGTTGTAAACTTCGAATAATGTTGTTCAAGTCAGCCACAATAGTCAATGGGGAACAGTGTGCCATTATCCGTATTATAACTGGGACATGAATGATGCCAAGGTGGCATGCCGACAGCTTGGTTTTACCAAAACTGTAGGACCTTCTTGGTATGGACAAGGAACGGGTAAAGTATGGCTGACAAACATGGGATGTTCAGGGTCAGAGTCCTTACTTGGAAGCTGTCCTCATGCTGGATGGGGAAGCGTTGACTCTTACTGCAATGGTCACACAAGGGATGCTGATGTGATAAGTAAGAAAATTTGWAAGATCGGTTTTTAAAATCGCAAAATTAGTGTGTCGCGAAAATTTCTTATGATAAGTTTCAAAATATATTTGATAAACTAATTGATAAACTTGAATATAGAACTAGAATAGATATATTAGGATACAAAATACAATATGCCAGAGAACAGTGTGTCATTATGGGTATACAACGAAGTTGTTAGCTTGCTAGTCGTCAGCTTGGGTTTACCAAAGCTGTAGGATTTTGGTACCTTGGACGAGGAACGGGCAAAATATGGCTGAATTATATTTATAAGTAAATTGCGTTATGGCCATTTCATTTAATGATGGGGTAATGATGTTAGTGTGTTGATGTATATAAAACCCAAGCTGTCCCGGAGTTTTTGCAAGATAACTATAGGAAACAGTCTTTGATAGTTGCTGTCAGTTAATRGGCCTGGTTAAGTTGCAATATCTTTTGTCATAGGTAGTTAACTATTAATTATTTCCTCACAAAGAAAAGCAAAATAAGTTTAAAATCAAATAATAAAACGCAATACTTGGGTCGATGATGCATACCATTATGAACATAAGTTCAGCTTTACTGTTCTCACGATGGATGGGGAAATGTTTATTCTAGTTGCAACAGTCACATGTATGATGTTATATATGTGTTTTTGTGTATGTTTATCACAACAGACTGAAATGCCATAACTGCTAATATATTTTTGGCAACCCTGTTTTAGCAAGACAATAGGGAACAGTTTGTGATGATTATCCTTATTACTGGGGCATGGACGATGCCAAGGTTGCATGCCGACAACTCGGTTTTACCAAAACTGTAGGATACTGGCATCTTGGACGAGGGACTGGTAAAGTATGGCTGTACTATATGCGGTGTACAGGCTCAGAGTCCTCGCTTGGAAACTGTACTCACAATGGATGGGGAAGTGTTCACTCTAGCTGCAATGGTCACACATTGGATGTCGGTTTACTATATTTCTTATTATTTAAGCCTAATATCTTGAATAATGGACTTAGGCTTTATTGATTTTACTTAGTCTGTCACCACGATATTCAGTTTCCAAGCTATAATACTCGTGTTTTTTTTAATATGCGTCTTATCTTTGCCAACAAAACTAGCGTACAAAACATAATATGTATAAGCTGCTAATTAAAATGGTTATTTTCTGGCTAGGAGGACCACCTAATAGAGTTGTTGCGTCACACATTTGTATTTGAACCAGATATGGCCAAGTGTTGGACGTGCTTGGTCGAAACCGTTAATTATATCCTTCACCATGGATATTTCAACAAGTAATACTTGTGATATTCTCTCTTCGTTGAATTGTTAGACCAAACATATACAGCAAATATAAGCACATATGGAAGACATCCGTGAGTAGTGGCAAAGCACGATGATAGAGTAAGCCACAGATAGCCAAGCAATCAAACTATCATAGGTAATTTCTTAGAATAGACTAAAAAGAATTAAGAATTCGGCTTGAGAATATAAATTTGATATTTAGGAATTCAGGTTGCGGCGGCGTTATGCAATTCTATCATAGTGCTCAGTGGGAACAGTGTGTGCATATTATACTAGAGACTTTGATATGAATGATGCAAAGGTCGCATGTCGTCAACTTGGTTTCACTAAAACGGTAGGACGTTCGTATGATGGTCGAGGGACTGGTAAAGTATGGCTGAATAGCATGGGATGTACAGGCGCAGAGTCCTCACTTGGAAGCTGTACTCACAATGGATGGGGAAATGTTTATTCTAGCTGCAATGGTCACACTATTGATGCTGATAAGGCATTATTTATTTAGAACGCACTTTTAAAAGCAACATAGTATTTCAGCTTCGAAATGTAAATTCACAGAATCAGGTGTCATTATACATGTCTACCACAGTGGTCAATGGGGAACAGTCTGTGCTTATTATAACCGCTTTGGTGGCTTGGATGGCTTTGATATGAATGATGCCAAGGTTGCTTGTCGACAACTTTTGGACAGACTTTTATTTAATGTTGATATGAACAATGAGCTAAAGAATTGTTATAAATACATTTGAGCTGATATAAAATCTAATGTAAAAATATATGAATACAAATATTTTGCTGCTATGGATACAAGGTAGATATCTAAGGTAAATAAATATTACCTGAATAAATAATGTATTCATAGTGAATATGTAAAGGTGTGCAATATATATGTTGAATATAAATACCACACACATCCACCACGAATGCACACGACTCCCACAAAGCCACCACACAATTAATATAGTAGCTATTTGAGAGCCGCGCAAACCCACAGCGAATATGTGAAACATTCATATTCATAATAGATTACTGAGATGTTTTTGTATAGAGAAGTTTTTGGTGGATGATATTAAACTTCATATTATAGAAAAAGAAATGTTGGACACATTTAGAATATAACTAAATGAAATTTAATGTTCGTAAATGTTACATTAGCACGATGTGCTACTGGTTATTATTATGGCGCTATTATATAGGTTAAGGGAGTCAAGATATCTAAGTTCTATATGGGGATAATGAGAAAAAAACTAGCGTGCTGTGACATTAAATAATGTGAGATACCTATTCGTAGTGATTATGAGAAATACTAATGGTAAATATGTGAAATAGATAGATCGAATCATATAATTACGTCACACATGAATGAACACGGCGCCAATACAGCCAGCACGCATAGAGAATACGTGGAAGAAATACGAGAAACGTAACACCCACAGCAAATATGCGGAGCATCTATATATTTATGATGGGTTTGAAAGAATACTTATATATTGGTCCTTGAAGGACCCCATTTTAACAATTCGCCATTTTGAAACCATACGCACATAGCTYGGCAGTAAGTAATCCATGTCTTATAGAATCAAAGGCTTTGCTAAGATCGATGGTAGTAGCTGCAACACTGTTTCTGATCAAGGGAGGAACGCTGGTCCTTAGTCATTTTAATAAGTGAATCTGTAAGTAAATCTGCAACAGGAAGGAAGGCAGAGAGTGAGTTGCTAAGCCCTTCTTTTACCCACTTATACATTTGGTCATACATATCCCATTCGGCGATCTTTGAAGTTCTAGGCAGTAAAGATATTGCTCACTAGAGAAGTTCCATGTAAGGGCAGTAAGCTCACTATTTATGATAATAAGTCAACTAAATATTCAAATGAGTTTACAAACCACCCAATTTATCCAGCTCACACAAATTTATGTATTTTATTGGAAGGAACGAAACAAAAAGTCTGACATAACGTGAGTGACTGCGAATAGAGTGTCAGCACAGTTAACAACGATGAACGCTAGATATACAGTTATATACAGGGCTTACAATTCGACTGGAGATATCAATTCTAAATAATATATATATAAATACAACAATACAAAATGCGATAAAATGTTATACAGCAGAAAAAATTAAATGAATAGTAAATGAATTCGTATAATKTTATTTAACTTTGTATTGTTGTTTGAAAACGATAAGTTTTTTCTTGAAAATGTCAATAGATGGTGAAGTCTTTATTTCATACGGTGAAATGTTTCACATTTATCTAGGCTTTGAAGGTCTTTCAATCGTTGTTTGGGATTAAGGGTGATATATATTTGTGTGTCATCTGCGTAGAAAATGCATCTTAATAATATCCTCAATCGGGCTTACATATAAATGTGAACAGCATCACAAAATCAGGTGTCGGTGGCATTATACAAGTCTATCACAGTGGTCAATGGGGAACAGTGTGTGATTATCATTATTTTGGCAATAGATACTGGGATATGAATGATGCCAAGGTTGCGTGTCGACAACTTGGTTTTATCAAAACTGTTGGATATTGGCAGCTTGGACGAGGGACGGGTAAAGTATGGCTGTACAAGATGCGGTGTTCAGGTTCAGAGACCTCACTTGACGTGGACTCCAACTGCAACAGTCACTCTTATGATGTTGGTGTTGGGTTGTGTTGTGTTGTGTCTTGCATTATTTGGACGGAATCAAACATGTTACGTGATTGGTCATCTATCACGGAGCCGTGGCATACCACAACTATCATGTGGTATACCACAACTATCTTGGGACCATTATTGTTCCTACTCTACATAAATGTCTTGCAAAATTGTCTCGCACATTCCAATCCACGGATATATGCAGATGATACTAGCGTAACACTCTGAAGTAATTGAGTAGATAATATAAATCTCAATCTTAACCATGACCTTGCGAATGTTAATGATGGCTTATTACAAATAAGCTTACATTAAACCAATCTAAGACCCTTTCTAAGAATTCATGTTAATTGGGTCTAGACAAAGGATACCTACATTCAAGTCAGCGCCAACTCTAGCAATGGACGGTACGTGTCCCTATTGATCAAGTTTCTTATACGAAGTCTCTTGGTATACATATTGATGTAAACCTGTCATGGAATGTGCATATTCACAAATTATCTAAAGCCCCCGCCATCGGTGCAATAAGACGTTCAAGGCCTTTTGTCCCTGATAAGACACTACATTGTTTTTTTATTTCTTTAGTTCAGCAGCATTTTGATTATTGCCTTGCCTAGCCTAGCATAGCCTAGCCTACGAAAGCAGTAGGACATTGGAGATTTGCACATGGAAAGGGCAAAGTATGGCTGGACAGGATGCAGTGTTCAGGCTTAGAGACATTACTTGCAAGTTGTAGTCACAGTGGATGGGGTAACGTTAACTATGACTGTCCTACTCACGAATATGATGTTGGTGTTTTTTAAAAGGCTAATATGATTAACTAATCCTAGTACAAAGTAATAGATATTTTTCATTTCTGGTTAAACTCTAGTGCCAGGTTTGGTGATGGAATGTACTCGCATATTAAACTATCTATTCTTACTATACGGTTATATAAAGGACGTAGTTGATAAAAATACGAGATACAAAAATTGTTCAATTCTATCTCAGTAGTCAGTGGGGAACAGTGTGCCATTATGCATATAATAACTGGGAAATGCAAAATGCCAAGTTTGCATGGTTTTACCAAAACTGTAGGATTTGGCTCTATGGATGAAGGACGGGCCTCTTGATGCAACAATCACCAATAGGATGTTGGTTAATTTTTTTYCCTTTGGCTCAATATTTTGCATATATTATATTACTACGTTGTTTTCTGTCGGCAATTGGTCATGATTTCGCTCTCCGACACAATCGACAATGATGTTTAAACAACTGATTATAGGGTGCTGCCTTTTCTTTGAGAATATCTACGAGTGGTTAGACTGTCACTATGGCTCTTTTTACCACAATAGTAAGTTTATTGTTTGTACTCTTGGTTATTGTTCGTGGTAACATGGGACCGGTAAATTATGGCTGTACGCAACGTCATGTTCACGATCGGAGTCTTCACTTGGAAGCTGTTCTAAACAATGGATGGCGAAACGTTGACTCTTACTGCATTCGTAACACACGGGATCAATGCTGGCATTATACAAGTCTATACTCATTGATGAATGGAGAACAGTGTGTGCATACTATAATAGTGACTTTGATATGAATGATGATAAGGTCGCATGCCGACAACTTGGTTTTACAAATACAGGACATTACACAACTGAGAAGAGTATATTGAAACCTTATAAACATTTCACTATTCTCAGATTCATTTATTTCTTTTTGTAGGAGTAATTTATCGAAGGACACCCACAATCAAACTGTAGTTTTCAAGACTATACCTAAATAAACATCAATGGGGAGCAGTCTGTGTTATCACTTACAGTTTAAACGATCTAAATGCTGCTGAGGTTGCTTGTCGGCAACTTGGTATTTAAACAGTTTCATAGTACCAGGGACGAGGGACGGGCAGAATATGAGCTGTACCCACAATGGACGGGGAAGCAGCTGCCACACATATGATGTCGGCATTTTTATTCAAAAATTGAGTACCATGGTCAATAGCCAATGGGGAACAGTGGGTTCTCATTATGGTTACCGCTATTACTTTGATATGCCTGATGCAAAGGTCGCGTGCCGTCAACTTGGTTTTAACAAAACTCTTGGTTTTTGGTGGTTTGGACGAGGGACGGGTAAAGTATGGCTGCAGGACATGCAATGTACAGGCTCAGAGTCCTCACTTGGAAGCTGTACTCACAATGCATGGGGAAGTGTGTCATCTAGCTGCAGTGGTCACACATATGATGTTGGTAATGTGTTGTGTATTTTAAATGCATCATTCAATATTACATATTATTAAAAGTTTTAAAGAATGTTGAATGGTTCTATAACTTAATTATAAATATATACAGCTTGGAATATTAATGAGTTTTTCATTTGTTTTTGCGGTTAGCCCCTGTTTATCTAACAAAACAGACAGAAAGTCAAAAAGACGTGTGGAAGACCCAATAGTAAGACAGACAAACTAAACAAACTTTAAGCAAACAAACAATTGATAATGGCCATTACTATAAGAAGAAATTCTGGCAAATAGAGTCTTTGTGATGACACTTGCAAGGTCAAACATTCTTATCAAATGATTCTCCATGGTACAAATCAGTAGTACCTATTTTTCTTAGCCAGACTTCGCTCTTTGGTATCTCGCGATCGGTTTTTATTTGTCTTTCATATCCTAGGATTAGCTCGGATTACAAGCACGTCATTACAAGGCATACAACCAGAACGAAAAATGGTTCATAAGTAGCGGGCATCTATCGAGTTATGAATGCACGCGGGAGTTTGCTAAGCACGAAAGAAGCGTAATGAGTACTTTGGCTTCTTAAGTGCTTAAGCAAACTCTCAAGTGCATCCATAACTCGAAAAATGCACGCTGCTTATGAACCATTTCTTTTAATATAGATATCAAGTTTAAATAAGAAATTAACAAAAAAAAGGTCTTTATTTGCTGCTCAAATACTAAATTCTTTTTATTTTCGTCACCGCGTGAATGAATGACTAGCGGCAAAGGCGCCAAAAACGAAACAATGTTTTTGAAAATAAAATTTTATTACTATTTCAGAGTTTGTTGTTAAGTTTAGCCTAAGAGTCTTAACTACACTACTGTAGTAGAGTTCTTTCTGAGGCATTGTATGGAAGTCAAGCACATCCACAAATCATAGCCAGACAAAATTCAGTGCTTATGAATCCAATAATTCAGTTTAATCCACTAGCCCATTCTCAACTTCCAGTTTTCAGCCATTGGACAATTATTACTAATGTCAACATAGTTCACAACGACAGCCATTCTGTTTCCCGTCAAATTGACATTTTGTCGTCCATTTCGTCGATATTTATACAATTTAGTTTAAAAGTTTGAGTTATATCGACTAAACTGTATTCCACACCTGCATACCGAAACCGTTTATGTTAGCATCATCTTCATTCTAAAAGATATAATTTGATTAAAAAAGTGACACTAAAATTATTGAAACTAAAGTAAGCCTGCACAGGTATGAAGGTTGACGTTCTGTGAGTACCCTCAATCTTATCGTTTTCCATTAGTAGCCAAACAATCAATGTATCATAATTATTTTCTCAAAAAAGACAACAAGAATTAGTTCGGCTTCGGCGCATACAATCAGTATATTAGGGAATCAAGTGTCGGTGGCATTATACAAGTCTACCACAGTGGCCAGTGGGGAACTGTTTGTCAATATAATTGGTTTGATATGAGAGATGCAAATGTAGCTTGTCGACAACTTGGTTATTCCAAAGCTGTAGGATACTGGTACTACGGACGAGGTACTGGTAAAGTATGGTTAGATGACATGGAATGTTCAGGCTCAGAGCCTTCACTTGGAAGCTGTTCTCACGGTGGTTGGGGAACTGTTGACTATCGGTGCAAAGGCCACACATGGGATGTTGGTGAGTCATTGTATGTTTTCTATACATAACATATATAAGTAACATAAATTATTATATGGCAAGGTGATTTCATGCGCTATGATTAATCAATTTGCGGTCCATAACTTACGGTACGGATCGAAAAATAAAATGGTTCACTCAAATGGTTCATTCAAATCTTCTTTATAAAAACATATTTCTGGATAAAAATCGTCAAAAAGCCGTAATAAGTTATTAAATGTGACTGAGAGTCACTGGCATTTAATGTAAAACTTATCATACAAGCGACAACTCTTTCGATCAAGACTTTACACGGCACTAGTTGAGCGAATTTGTACGACTAAAGAAAACTAAAACTAGGTCAAACTATGAACTAAATGATGGTGAATAGCGGCTAATTCAGCAAATGAAATAATACATACCCTCATCAAATGAAATAAAGATAGTTTTACAAGAAGAATTAACGCAATTTTTTTATATCAATAAGCTTACAGCGTCAATTTTGAACGTATCTGAATCGATCGGGTGAAGAAGCCAGTAGTTTCTTTTGTAAACGATGTAAGCAGTTTCCTAGGCTCATCCGCTCTTGAAGTACTTGTATATCAGTAATATATCATTCACACTTGAATTTGAATGCATTTGTATGGACAGGAGAGTTGGCAGTAGTTTTTTTAATTGATTCGAAAGTGTGCCGTCTTCATTACTTCAGCCATTGTGCATCTGGCGGCTTTGTTCAAACAGTCAAAACGTTGAAATTGACGAAAAACTATCCATGTCCAGCGAGCCGTAATTTTTCAAAGCTTCTCATTCATTTCTGGAGAGCTTTTGGGTTTTTTTACCCCAAAAAAGGCACGAAAACAAACGGAAGGCTGCAGTATTTTTGTGTCTACTGCATATTATTAAGCAGTAGACTCTATGCCATCGAGTTTACCCAGATATACTTCATACTTCATCCTCGCCAGGGGGCGCATACTGCGCATGACGAGGATAGCCGATGTTATTCGAAGACCCGCGTACAGCATTACTGACTGGTCAACTTGGCTACTCTTTTACGACTGCTTACGACTTTATATCGACTGAGAAACGTTTGACCAACGTATCAAATCATGATTCGGTAGGATTCAGTGATTTCTACAAGGTAATCGAAGCCATTTTTGTAGTGAATTTTATCGGTTTTTTGGAACAAGCTTAAGGCACACAGGTTCTGTGGAATGTTTCAAGTGTTGTTTAATTAAAGTGCTTTCAGGTATTTGCAATGTCTAGAAAGAATTTTTAGCAAACAAAAACGACCACTGAATTGGCGTCTTTGTGCTACACGAAACATGTCAACAATATCACTTCATGAACGATTGTTACAGAACCGATGCGATGTGAAACTGACTGATTGTTAGAGTAAAAATATTTGAGCCCTTTAAAGGGATAACTGAACTCCGTAAGCAGAATGTTAAGCYCTGGATACCTGCAAGTGAATATTCTACATATACATGATTCAAAAATATTGCTGTGTATCTATAAGCAGTAGACCCATGTACTCATAGAGTACGTATTTTTCATCTTGGTTGTGAATATCTTGTCTAAAAGAAGGTGGAAGTACAACAGTTTTCTTCTCAATCTCATGTTGAGTTCTTGAGGTGTTTTTTGATGCTTTTTTTGCTTTGCATTTACGTGTTTTGCAAATGAAAGCCTCACTTTTGTTAACTAGTATTTCAGAAAACTTTAAACTATAGCTAAATTCAGTCAAAGTAAACTAAAACTTCTCTTTTTGAACGACTCAAACACCACATGACTTGTGGCACGTACAGGAAGCCATGCGCTGTCAACTTTACTTTTTATTGACTCAATGGCTTTCCATATAATAAATATCTTATTAAACTCGTTGGCTCGGTCCATACCGGATCTCGCACTCGGTTAATGAGAGCTATTCATTTAACCTCTCGTTGTTCTCAGTTGGTGGAACTGTTGTGCAGGAGTTTATGAATTAGATCTACAGCAGTTTTCGTATGACTGTGAAAAACTCACTGCAATAACACGATAGTGACATGGCAAGAATTACGCCAGCCCAATCATATTGCTCGAGAATGTACTTTCCAAGGTCACGGCACTGTCAGACTAATGACATTGCGCAAGAGAAAAAATCAGCCAATTAAAATTCTAGAAAACATCGCGGTCACGGTCACGGCACGGCACGCTTACGTCACTGAGCTTTAAATGTCAACTCCTACTGCCAAGGTCACACATAGATTTTTGCGTTGTACACAATTTAAAACCCTTTTGGAAAAGTGGATGATAAAAGAAAAAGCTTAATAAAATTTAGTGGCATGCCAATATAAAGTAAGTCAAAGAACAGTGCATAACAAATAACAATTGTTAATGGCTAGTTGATAAACTTGAATATAGTACTTGAATAAATTCGCTAAAAAACGTTTTAAAAGACAATAATAGGAAACAGTATGTCATTATGGTTATATATGGGATATCGACGAAGAAGTGAAGGTTGCTTGTCCTCAGCTTTAGTTTACCAAACTTTAGGAACTTGGTACCTTGGACGAGGGACGGATATGATATGGATGAATGGCATTGGATGAACAGACCATGGAACACTTTGTCTTTATGTAAAGCTAGRAGGTCCCATTATTCTCACCGTGGACGGGGAAACGTTGACTCGAGCTGCAACAGTCAGTCTTACAATGTTGAACTCTGTTGCATGATATGTTGCATTCATTGATATGCTAACTACTATATGACAGTTATTGTGGTTGATGTTGATATTACCACTCTTTTTCAAATGTGGTAATTTAGGAACATATATATATAACAACTTGGTTTTGCCACAACTGTAGGAGTTTGGCATGTTGGACGAGGCAAGGGTAAAGTATGGCTATAATTCATGCTGTGTACAGGTACAGAGGCCTTGGGAGCTGTACTCACAATGGATGGGGAAGTGTTGACTGATTGCAACCGTCATAAATGCGTTGCTAAAATTTGTCTAGTTTTGGCCTCGTTCTAGGACTGAGGCCTTGTTCTCTTTTAAACACTTATGACCACTACCAAGGGGGGGAAATGCCTAAGAGCAACTTCTTGTGCTTATAATCAACTTGACAGTTATACAAATGGTCGCTGTGAAAAAGTGTCACGTTTATGTTGTCATTTCAATATGTAGCAATGTCGCCTTTTTGTAAGTTTTTATTTTGTATTTCTTTTTCGATCTCTTCTATCAAAAAAAATTCAACTTATTAAAGACATTGCTTGGACTACCTGTGAGACTATATCACATAAAATGTTGAACCCAAAAAAACAACATATCTTTAAACATTGTTCATATAACTACCGCTATAGCCAATTACTAATGGGGAACGGTCTGTATTAATGACTGGGATATGCCAGATGCAAAGGTTGCCTGTCGACAACTTGATTTTACCAAACCAGTAGGATTTTGGTGGTATGGACACGGAAAAGGTAAAGTGTGGTTGGACAGGATGCAGTGTTCTGGCTCAGAGACAATAGTTGGAAGATGTAAGCGCCTAATTGGAAAAAAGCTTGCTTTATTAGTAACCCGTTAAAGACTTTATTATTATTATTACGACGATGACGATGACGATGACGATGACGATGATGATGTAGTCACAATGGATGGGGAAACGTTAACTGGGACTGTCCTACTCACAAATTTGATGTTGGTGTCGTGTGTTTGAATCATTTGCTATGAAGTACAGAAACTTAAATTTACAGTTATAAAAAAGTTTTCAATTTAAACGAGATTCTGTTTTGACAAGGCCTACTTATGCCGTAAAATAGGTGTGTCATAGACATTTATACAAAATATTTTCCCAATGCAACTGATTATCAGTGTAATATAATTCACTAACGGAAGATAATTTAAATAAGCCTGTAATTCCACAACAATTGTTTACAAGTCTTCCACAACAGTCTGTGGGGAACAGTGTGCCATTTTGCATATAATAACTGGGATATGCAAGATGGCAAGGTTGCATGCAGACAACTTGGTTTTACCAAAACTGTAGGATTTTGGCTCTATGGACGGGGGACGGGTAAAGTGAATGGATGCCGGGGAAACGTTGGCTCTAACTGCAATAGTCGCACATATGATGTTGGTGTCGTGTTCTGTCGTGAATTATCGTCTAAAACATTTTCCACAGTTCTTAATGAGAAACATTGTGCTATAAAAACTGGAATATTAGGAATTCCAATGTTTCTTGTCGACAACTTGGTTTTACCACAACTTTAGGATTTTGGCTCTAAGGACGAGAGACGGGTAATGTATGGCTATACAGTATGCGAATTTCAGGCTCACAGTCAATAAATGGATATTGGCATGGTATGTTTTTATACGGTATATAACGCATTTGTCCACGATCCGTGACACGCGACGCGATTTGTTGCACGCAACGTTGCAGAAATTAGAAAACTATCATACTTCAACAGCATTGCCTGCAGTGTTGCGAGCAATGCTGCCCTATCTTTGGAATGCTTTATTTAACAATGTCTGAAGGATTAAACCAAGCAATGGCAGGAATAAGGTCTTCCAAAAAGTATTCAAACGGTTTTTAAGAAATAGTTACAGTCTGGAAGACATTTCATCTTCAAACAGAGAAATCAACAAACTGTTTTAAATTGTTAGATTTTTATTTTATTTACCAATCACTTCCTCGTGAAACGTTTGAGGTTTATTTTCGTGTTTAMAAAGAAGGGGGGAAATATTTAATCTGTTATAAAAATTCACTTTTCTCAGATTTTCAAAGATACAAGTCTACCACAGTGGTCAGTGGGGAACAGTGTGTCATTGGAACTGGGACATGAATGATGCCAAGGTTGCATGCCATCAACTTGGTTTTTCCAAAACTGTGGGATTTTGGAACTATGGACAAGGAACGGGCAAAGTATGGTTAGACAACATGCGTTGCACAGGCTCAGAAGCCTCACTTGGAAGCTGCCCTCACAATGGATGGGGAAATGTGGACTCTCGATGCAACAATCACCAATGGGATGTTGGTTTCCTATCTTTTTTTTTTTGGCTTAATAGTTTGCATATATAGAGATTACTTCATGGTTAGTGAGCGCGCACGGTTTTTATTTAATAAAAACCGTACAAGCGAACTTGGAGTTGAGAAAAAAGTTTATTGAACCTCGAACARTTGGTTAACTGAAATAGAAATTTCTCTTTCTAATAGTATGATAAACTTGTAAATATAAGTATACTTAGATCAGATTTGTGTACTTACGGACACCGAGGACGAATTCGATGAGGTATTCGCAGGAWTCTGTTCTATAGCCCTCGTCTCTTCTTTCGTTTGTAAAAATTCCCTYAAGAGTGCCAAATCGGTCTGTGTTTTTATCTAGTTTTTTAGTTTTCCTGGCTCTCGATAAACTCCGTATTTGAGTCGATTTGAGCAAATCTTGAGCAACACCTTCCATGTTTAAGAACTTTTGACAACAAACACTCAAACGCAAGCTGACACTTTCTGCATGAAGCGCGGGAAAACTCGATAAGATTTTTTCACAAGTGAAAAATATTGTATAGCCAATCACAGTGTTGATACGATGTTCTTCAATAGTGAAGAAAAACGTATAGCCAATAGGATCGCTTCTCGATTTTGTGTTATGAATTTTATCAAATAGCTTGCGAACATGTAAATCTCAGTACTTATATAATAMATTATAATACTACGTTTTTATCTCAGTCGGCAATAGGCCGACACAATCGGCAGTCACCCAAAATTAACTGATTATAGGGTGTTACCTTTTCTTTAAAAATATCTGCAAGTGGTTATACTCTCACTATGGCTCTTTTTACACATAGTTAATGAGGCGGAATGGTTTGCAAACTCCATAGAACAAAGCTATTGTTTTGCGTTTGATGTCGATTCGTACCATCACATGATACTGACCGTGCACAATGGACCAAGCAAGTATTGCTAAAAATAATCATTTCCTTATTATTTTCATGTATTAACATTTTGAAAATGAAAACTTTTATTGGATGACCACAAACCATGCGGATACATATTTCCACACCGATACAGTTAAGTTTTCTAGATGATAAATAAGAAAGCATGAAAAATGGCAATTTCATTTTGATTAAACAGTCGATATTTTAAAATCATATAGCATTAATTAAGAAAAAGCTATTTAAGAATGTTTTTTTAGTGAGAAAAACTTCTATTATTCCCTATTTCCTAATACTGTTAACAAACGAAGCAACGTTTCCTTCTCTTTGCACGGACACCGTCATATAACAATAGATAAAGTTGAACACAAACCTGGAACAATAGGTTTTCCAACCATTCCGCTCCATTAACTATGTTTTACCATGATAGTAAGGTTGTCCTGTCATATTTCCAAATGAGAGATATAACTAGCTAAAAACTAGTGTGAGCTGCGTCGGTGTTTCTAATGAAACAGTAATGATAAAAAGGTAAATTATACAACGTGAAAAATATGAAAAAACGTACTGACGTTTCGGACGCTAGTCCTTCGTCGGAGTAAAAGAGATAGAAGTGGTAGAAAGGAGTGTATATAAGATAGAATAAAACAAAAGAAACCAATAAGAACAAGGTAGGCAAGGAAACAAAAACAAACCATTAAAAGACAAAAGAAAAGTTTAGTTGAAAGTAAAGCGTTCATTAATCCCGTTGGGACTAAGAGTGCCCAATAGGTGAATAAGCCGCATTTCTTTGGTCGTGCGACAATCATTGTTGCCGTTAATCAAAGAAAGACCGAAAACCATGAAGTCAGAAAGAGAATGGTTAGCTAGATTAAAATGGCGGGAAACTGGTTTGGTGGGATCGTTAYTGCGAATATCATAAAGATGACTGCAAATGCGATCACCAAGACGGCGGCCAGTCTCACCCACATACAAAAGATTACAGCGGGTACATTTGATACAATATACAACAATAGAAGTTGTACAAACAAAATGATCAGTGATTTTAACAATGGATTTAGGACCGACAACAGAAGTGTGAGAAGCTATGTGAGGACAAGTGTAACAACGTTTACGAGAACAGCGCAAAGTACCAGGTTCTTTGTTAGAGGGAAGAACTCACTTGACCAAGAAAGAACGAAGATTACGATCACGTTTATAAGAAAAAAGAGGGCGGTTGTTGAAAATAGCAGAAGTGCGAGTATCAAAGTCAAGCAAAGAAAAGTTGCGGTTAACAATGGGTTTAATGGAATTATTAATAGGATGACACGCAAGAGTGAAAGGAATGCGATTATTAGAGGGACGAGTGTGAGGAGTGAGAGCGGTGGTACGATCAATAGTAGAAACTTTACGAATGGCGTGATCAAAATAGATAAAGCTTATGAAAAAAAATTTATACAAAGCGGTTTATCTTCAAACTTTTTTATAGATTACGAAGACAAAGAAATATGCCTCGCCTTCGTTTTAATGGTTTTCACTTTGCCTTAGAACCGGAAACACGTATGGGATTCTGAGGTCACACTACTGCGCATGTTTATGGAATTATAGTTATGTGTTGATGGCATTATACAAGTCTACCACAGTGGTCAGTGGGGAACAGTGTGTGATTATTATGGTTATAACTTTGACATGAGGGATGCGAAAGTTGCATGTCGACAACTCGGTTATTCAAAAACTGTAGGATATTGGTACAACGGACGAGGGACAGGAAAAGTATGGCTGCAAAGCATGCAATGTACAGGCTCAGAATCATCACTTGGAAGCTGTACTCACAGTGGATGGGGGAGTGTTTCATCTAGCTGCAATGGTCACACATATGATGTTGGTAATGTGTCGTGCATTTTAAATGCGCTATGCCATATTACATATTATTAGAAGTTTTAAAGAATATTGAATGGTTCTATATACAGCTTGAAATATTAATGATCTTTTTCATCTGTCTTTGCTATTAGCCCATGTTTATCTACCAAAACAGACAGAGAGACAAAAAGACGTATGAAAGACGACAGAAAGACAGATGGCCGAGAGTTGTTGTGGCCAGAAATAGCCATGATGAACCATTTGTCCACTTCAGCGTTTGTCCACAGAGTAATTCCAGTCGCTCGAACCGAGTGGTTGGTATAAACTTTGGATAATCTGCTTCTTTGATGATCGTTTTCATTATTTTGTCCAGACTGTTAAATCCAATTGGTCTTCCTTCATACCATACTTCATCTTCACCAATTATGACATTTCACTTGGGATACTCTGGAATAATGCAGTTGACTTTGGGGTAATCTTTTTTCAAGTAGAGCTTCAGTGCCGAGTTTAAACACAGTGTATGTATAATCGAAATAATGATGAAAGTGAATGGAATTAGAATAAAGTTACATCAGCGAGTAGTGGCAGAGCACGATGGTAGAGTAAGCCACAAGTAGCCAAGCAATTAAACTATCATAATTATTTTCTTAGAATAGATTAAAAAGAATCAAGAATTTGGCTTAATTATATAAATTTAATATTCAGGAATTCAGGTTTCGGCGGCGTTATACAAGTCTACCATAGTGCTCAGTGGGGAACAGTGTGTGATGGTTATAGTGGATATTACTTTGATATGAATGATGCAAAGGTCGCATGTCGACAACTTGGTTTTACCAAAACTGTTGGTTATTGGTACTATGGAAGAGGGACGGGTAAAGTATGGCTGTACCGCATGGGATGTACAGGCTCRGAGTCCTCACTAGGAAGCTGTACTCACAGTGGATGGGGAAGTGTGTCTTCTAGCTGCAATGGTCACACATATGATGTTGGTGTCGTGTTTTGAGTTATATCGACTAAACTGTATTCCACACCTGCATACCGAAACCGTTTATGTTAGCATGGTATTCCGTTATTTGTTGATATTAGAGGCATTCAGTTTTTCGTGCTCAAAACTTTGCTTTCGAGCTGTTTCACAGGGGGCGAACCTGAGTCCTGTTAGGGCCCAAGCTAAGGCTGCTATAAAATGAGCAGCACATATAAGGAATAATATGGAGATAAGGGGAATAGATAAAGCTTATGAAAAATTAATTTATTATGCAAAACTTGAAGTTTTTATAGATTGCAAACACAAAGAAATGTGCATCGCTTTTGTTTTCACTTTATCACTGGAAACACATATGGAATTCTGGGGTCACACTTAAAGCCCAGTATGTTGTAACATGACATGAAAGTACGTATCTGCATGCAACTAATGACCTCGAAAGTTTCTCTCAGGGACAACGTATTATTGAAAACAATTTTTAAAGCGAATTTTTCTTTTGTTGCCTACGTGTTATTAACATAATTGTTATCGTTGATGTTGTGGCATTCATGAAATGCAGAACCCAGAAAATAGTCTCAGTTAACTAATTTTAAGAGCAACACAAAACACAACTCCCACTATAGACTTATTCGATCACAATACCCTAAATGAAATGAGTCACCAAGAGGCATTTGTTATCATGCTAGTTCATTGGTGCTCAAAAAGCTCTACGAGCTTACYATGGGTTTACCTTTGATTAATAGGAATGGCATTTACTTTCATTTTTTCAGTTTCCCCATCGGAAATTGTAGCAAAACGATTGCCGGCAGATGCCACTTTGTTGGCGACTCAATATTCTGAGATTCAAAGGTGACTATCGTACAATATTCTCCTCTAATTAACCAAGTAGCGCGCACGTTCTTAGGAAGTACACAAATTGATATATGCTAATACCAGTTATTTACCTGTCAAATGTAAATCTACTTTACCTCCTGCTAGCGATCCAATTATGCCGAATGCTGAGGTGGAAAAAAATAACTATATAAGGAAACTTGAAAAGGAAAATGGAAATGGACTTTTTCAGCTTCAAAGTATACGTTCACTAATTAAAGATTTAGGTGTCGGCGGCATTATACAAGTCTACCACAGTGGGCAATGGGGTACAGTGTGTGATTATTATGATTACTTTGACATGAGGGATGCCAAGGTTGCATGTCGACAACTCGGTTATTCTAAAACTGTAGGATATTGGCAAAATGGACGAGGAACGGGTAAAGTATGGCTGCAGTACATGCAATGCACTGGATCAGAGTCCTCACTTGGAAGCTGTACCCACAATGGATGGGGTAGTGTGTCATCTAGCTGCAATGGTCACACATATGATGTTGGTGTCGTGTTGTGTAATATCGACTGTTTTCCACATACTGAAACAGTTTATTTTTCCATGGTATTTAGTTATTTATTAATATTGAAGCATTCAGGTTTTTCGCGCTTTACTTTCAGGCTGTTTTCACATGGGGCATAGCACAAATAAGAATTTGAGATGAATTTGTGAAGCTAATGAAAACAAATGACATTCACAATACCAAGCGGGTTATCTTCAAACTTGAGGTTTTTCATACATTGCAAAGACAAAGACATATGACTCGCCTTCATTTACGTGGTTTTTACTTTGCCTTAGAACGGAATAACATATATGATATTCTATTGTCACACTAAAAGTCTAGTGTGTTGTAATATGAAGTTACAGTACGAAACTGCATGCAAATAATGCCCTTGAAAAGCTTCTCTCAGGGGCGACGTATTATTGAAAACAATATAAACAATTCCTTTATAGCTATTTTTTTCTTTCGTTGCTTATGTGGTATAAACATTATCATAATTGTTATCGTCGATGTTGTTGCACTCATGAAATGCAGATACCAGAAAATAGTATCAACGCTAGTGCATTCAATGGTTCAAGGAAAAGGTAACCACAGTGATTAATGGGGAACAGTATGTGCATACTATCATAGTGACTTTGATATGAATGATGCTAAAGTCGCATGCCGACAACTTGGTTTTAACAAAACTATAGGACCCTCGCACGGTGGACAAGGTACGGGTAAGATATGGCTGAACAACATGGGGTGTTCAGGCTCAGAGACCTCTCTTGGAAACTGTACTCACGATGGATGGGGAAATGTTTACTCTGGGTGCAACTATCACCAATGGGATGTTAGTGAAGTAAAATGGAAATTGGAAATAAGAATGGGAAATAACATACAAACTTTAGCTATGGATTTTACATACGTACTTACACTTGAAAACTGTACTCACGGCGCGGAATGGTGAACAGTCACTCTAGATGCAACAGTTACACGTGGGATGTTGGTCTGTGTCGATAAAATTAAATCGATTTTACAGGCCTTTTTGGCACCCTGGAAGTAATATGTCAGATTCCAAGGCTGCATGTTGTCAACTGGGTTGCTTTAAGAGGCAAATGATGATGATCCTGGGGTTGTGTTTTGTAATATTTGCAACAAAGCTTTTTGAAGTCACAGTCTTCAACGGTGAAAATTAATGCACGATAGCCGTGGTATGCACGATGTTATAGTTGCATGTCGTCAACTTGTTTTTACCAAACCTATTGGATATCACCACAATGGACAAACGACTGGAAAACTATGGTTGTACCCCAAGTCTTTTCGGGATTCAGAGTTCTCAATTGTAAGCTTTTGTAGCCGAGTATGGGAAATTGTACCTTATAGGCCATCGATGATCTTTGTGTATAAAATAATAATACATGTAAATTAAGATAAACTGCGATCGGCTGCGAAAATTATCTGCTGAAAGTAAACTTGTAAGTTTGTAAGTAATTAAGCAATATAAGTGTGTTATAACAGTTCTTAATTCTAGTTTTCGACATAGAGTTTTAGGTTTAGATTTTGTGAATAATGGAGATGGTGAGTTTATATTTTCGTAAAACATGGCTTCCTTTTGGCAAGCTTTCCATTCGTCGTAGTTTTAGCATGAATCAAAAGAGGAGATCAGTAGGGAACAGTTTGTCATGCTGCTGGTAACTGGGATATGAAAGAGGCTAAGGTCGCTTGTCGCCAACTTGGTTTCACTAAAACTGTAGGACTTTCGTATTATGGACGTGGGACGGGTAAAATATGGCTGTACAATATGCAGTGTTCGGGCTCGGAAGCCTCACTCGGAAGCTGTACTCACAATGGATGGGGAAGCGTTTACTATAGCTGCAATGGACACACTATTGATGTTGGTGTGCWGTTGTCTGTTGTTATATAAAGAATGGCGCACAGTGCGAAGGTGGAAGTGTGAAGGCGCCTGCTATACGCCAGATGCCAATGTTGTTTGTCGACAATTTAGAAGCCTTGTTTCATAAACATTGTGGTATATTGGGAATATAGAAGAGGGACGGGTAAAATATGGCTGTAATAGAAGCCTCACTTGGAACCTTAATCCAAGTTGATGTGGGAAACTATGACTGCAACTAACAATCTCGGGTATTTTAAGCACTTGTTACTGCATTAATGCCTTGTGTCAGATCAATGGAGATCGCTATGTAATGTTTATAACAATTACATAACCATGTGTCTCCGACTGTAGGTTGTGTGACCATATAGGTTATTATATATCGTATCCTCTAATCCCTCAGTAAACAAACTTAGTGATACCTTCTCAGTAAGAAGTAATACCCCATCACAACTTTTATATGTCAAACATCATATGGAAAATAATTTCCTTGTTTCACTAGGGAGGCATATAGAGTACTTTAAAAAAATAATTACAGTTTCTCTGTGTTCTTCTGTTGACTATTGATATTGACTATAGACTACCTCTTTAAAGGTGAAATTAGTTTTGAAATCATAGTGGATATGAMGAATTAGTTCATAGATACGTTAACTTCACTCTCAAACATAGCACATTATTAAGATCAGCTTTCAAAGTCATTTTTAAAATATTTTTTCAAATACAACTGTCAGTAGGCGATGGAACAATGTGTCATTATGGTTATTACTGGCATATCAACGAAGAAGTCAAGGTTATTTGTCGTCAACTTGGGTCAACTAATAATAATATGGCTGAACGTTATGCATTTTAAGTCTCCGGGCCTCACTTGGTATCTGTTCTCGCCGTGGACGGGGAAACGTTGATTCCAGCTATAGAACGCAGACACATGAGGTCACAGACTTCAATGTTATGTTCCTATGAATAAATGTATACAATTTATAATTTGTCAGTTGGACAGGTAAAGTATAACTATACTGGATGCTGTGTTCAGTCTCATAGTTCTCACTTGAGAGCTTTCCTCTAAAGGGAAAGACTGTGTTGACTCTAATTGCAGTAGTGACTAATATGATGTTAGTTTGATGTTGTACATAAGAAAAACAAGTTGCTGATTGTTATTTTAAGTGTAAGTATAAAATGGTCAATGAGGAGCAGTATGTGTTAACTATGATGGCAGCTGGTACTGGGACATGAATGCTGCCAAGGTCGCATGTCGGCAACTTGGTTTTACCAAAACAGTGGTATATTGGTTTCTTGGACAAGGGACGGGTAAAGTATGGTTGCGCAATATGCGTTGCACAAGTAAAAACTACAGTGAACAAATATACCCGATATGGAAGAGGATGGCTGAGCTATGTTTAGGGTTAGGTTCACTTTTTGGATTGGTATTTTCATTGTTGCCTCCGACATCAATCATCACTCCAATGATAATTTGTATTCCTTCCCATTCTTTTTACCTCTGAATGTGATGTTAGTTTTGACGTCATCAAGATCAAGTTTCAAATGGGACATTGAAACATTAAATTTTTACTACAATTGTCAGTAGGCCAGGGAACAGTGTGTCATTATGGTTATACCTGGGATATCAACGAAGAAGTCAAGGTTGCTTGTCGTCAGCTTGGGTTTACCAAAGCTATAGGACCTTTGTACTTTGGACAAGGGACGGGGAAAATATGGCTGAACGGCATGGGATGTACAGGCTCAGAGGCCTCACTTGGAAGCTGTTCTCACCGTGGATGGGGAAGCGTTGGCTCTCACTGTAACAGTCACACGTATGATGTTGGTGTCGTCACAATTTTCAAAAAGGGAGAATCAACAAACTGCTTCACACAGTTAGATTTTGGGTAAGAGTGGATCCTATCGTTTTCCACAATCAGCCGTATCATAATTATTTCCTGAAGAACCTTCTTTTTGAACAATCACATATATGATGTTATGATGTGCCGTGCCATGCCGGCTAAACTACATGCGATGTACAGTCTCCGAGTCCTTGCTGGAAAGCTGTATTCACATTCACATTGTCGAGCAAGGAAACCAAAAAATAAAACGCTTTTAAAATAAGCTATTGAAAATGGCCTATCTATACTCTTTTAAAAAGGAAAACATTTACAAAATCCGGGGAAACATTTTAATTCAAGTTATAGCATTATTTTGGGAAAATAATCTTACGACTTGAGAATTGCGTTATTTAGTTAGATATAGACCAAAATTCCCATTGGATAATAACTATACTTTTGGCACATTTTGTGAAGGCGCAAGAAGATTTTGGTTTTACGTAGAAGGAATTTATCATAGATCTTTTTTTGTTTTTTGTATTTATTGGTTCCAGTAAGTCCATCTCATTAATCATTGGGAAGTATTGTACGATTTCTACAGTCAAATCCCGTTAACTCGAACTAGTTGAAAGGACTTTATGCTGACTCCGCTTCAGAAATTAAGATATAGACAGTATTATATATCTGTATCAGAGTGAAAAAGGGGGAATAGTGTGCGAAGATTATTTATAATAGATACTGGATATGAATGATGCAAAGGTTGCTTGTCAGCAAGTGTTCCCTCAGGGTGAAACAGTCACACGTGGGATGTTGGCCAGTCTCGATAAGATTGGACCGATTATAGACCTTTTCGGCGCCCCAGAAGTAATATGTCAGATAGTTCCAAGGCTGCATGTCGTTAACTGGTGATGTTGGGGTCGTGTTCCATAATATTTGCTTATTGAAGTCGCAACCTTCTAGGTTGAAAATTATGTGATGAAAGCTAAGGTATGCACGGTGCTATAGTTGCATGTCGTTTTTACCAAAACTACATACCGGATGCTCGCACAATTGACGAATGACTGGAAAAGTATGGTTGTATGCCAAGTCGTGTTCAGGATTCTCAATTAGAAGCTGTTGTAGCTCGGCATTGGAAAATGAACCTTATAGCCCTCTGATTATCTTTGAGGATAAAATAAATTGAACTAAAATGAATAACACAAGCAAACGTTTAAATTTAGTAATTTCAATTTTAAAATATTTGAAATTTAGTACAATAAATATAATCAATGATTCGTTATTTTGCGACTCACCGTATATAAATATATAAGCAAAACAGTGCTGAACTTCAACTCCTGTAAAGGATAATTATGTTAAAGTCTAAGAAACTATAGTGTAGCCAAGATGAAACTATCTATTTGTCACAAATTGCATTTTCCTTCGTTTTGTTGTGTTACCTCCTTTTCCGAATCAAGAAACTAACATCACTTATCTAAAGTGTTACAATTCTAATGCTGAGAGCTCCTTGGTTTTCATGTGTACCTACCCCTTGGAGTATAGATACGAAACCGATATGCTCTTTGTACGAGAATCAAATCTTAAAGTTTAAGTTTGCGCAAAATTTCTGAATAATGAGATTAATTTTTTCTGCAATTCACAGGGGAGATGCTGCTTGGAAGACTCATGAAACAGCGACGAAAGAAATATCCAGTACAAGGTTCAACAGGAAAGTAAGTTATTAATATAAGTATTAAATTGGAGATATTTAATAAATATTAATTTTAATATTAGGTTAGACTGTGTAAATTTTTATAACAAGCTTTTAAAAATCTTTGGATTTTTATACCATTTAACATAGATTACATAAAGTTTGAATTATTAATTTAATTTCACCTGTCTTTGCTATTCGCCCATCGTATTCTAAAAAATAGAAAGACAAAATTTAGACGTATCAGACAGTAAACAAACGAAAACAAAAAAAGAAAGGCTAGCAAACAAAAATACAATCAGTAGCAATGGCATTCCGGTTAATAACCTGTTATGACATGCATAGAGCAATACTTAAATCGAATAACCAGTAAATCTAATGCTAGGAAACAAATGGTCTTCGATAAACCCATACAAACCAATTTACAATTACTGTCACCTGCCATAAACAGGGCCGGCGTATGTGTGCAACAGTGTGTGATAACTGTTTCGTCCTAAAACGACTTTTGCGGTAACGGATAATGTAAACACGTGACTTAACAATAACTGATTATGTAATTAGTTTCAATTAGCTCTGACAATATCGACCAATTTGTCAAATCTATAAGAAGGCCATCGGGTAAATATTATTTTCATTTACATTAAGAGAGAATTCTTTTCGTATTCAAGCAGTGACCGCCAAAACTATTTTCTTGAAGAAAGGCTATTGTACAAGGCTAAAATCTTGTTATTCACAAAGTTTAACTTGCTTGGAAGTGGAGATTACCGATGAAAGTGGAATCAAAATGTTAACCAAAGCAAATATTTTATTCGAAAATGAGGTTTAGGCCTTCATTTGCTTATTTCCCAAATGCTTTCTATAAAAAGCCTGACAAAACAACATTCTAACACAAATGCAACAAAACATCTTTGCACAATTGAAAATACCGCTTCAAACAGGAATCATAGTACCATCAGTTTCTGTTTAAAAAGGTTTTGAGTTTTAACCCAAAACGAAAATTGGGATCGAAACTCATACGAAAGTCTAGTTTTTGCCGCTTTTTGTCCTTATTGCTCATTATTGAAAAAAAAATCCTCTTAATRTCTTACTACTTAACAACTAACGTTACCATGCGCTGTTTTAGATTCGAACTGAGTAGGAATGATTCGTTCAGTACATAGATTTAATATTCGTAGATTAATGTGTCGGCGGCATTATACAAGTCTACCACAGTGGTCAATGGGGAACAGTGTGTGATTATAATTATGACTTTGACATGAGGGATGCCAAGGTTGCATGTCGACAACTCGGTTATGCCAAAGCTGTAGGTTATTGGCGAAATGGACGAGGGACGGGTAAATTATGGCTGTACGCCATGGGATGTTCAGGCTCAGAAACCTCACTTGGAAGCTGTTCACACAATGGATGGGGAAATGTTTACTCTGGCTGCAACGGTCACACATGGGATGTTGGTGTCGTTTGCGGTATTAACTGCTGCAAAAAAAATAGTTTTATTCTTCTTATGGTGTGTGAATGAAGTGTGACAAAAAGTCAGCCTTTTTAGATTTACCAATGCAACTCAGTTATGGCATGGATGATGGCCAGAAGTCTTGTCGATAATTTTGTTTTAACAGGACTTTAGGATATTGCTTGTGAGTATATGGGAAGGGGTAAAATCTGGCTCCACTCTATTTCGTATTTAGGATCAGATGTCTCACTCAAATAACAAACTGATGTGCTGCATTGGAACAATCTCCAGTAGGCGGGTCCCACGTATACAGAAAGTAGATGAATAAATGCCCCAGAAATATGTAAACAAAAAACTACCCTAACGAGACTAATTAATTACGTTACTTTACGAATGAAGGAAAATTAGGATAAGGCTGTAAAGCCACCACGTAAAGCTATTACTATGTAAAAGAACATAGCATGCAGTACCTAAATACAGGGGCGGCGGCTCCCCAAAAAAAACTTTTCAGCTTCCGCTGCCCCTGAGATACCTTACAGAGGCTCTGAAACTGAAGAATTCTGACAGTGCATCCCAGGAAAACTAGATTTTCAAGCCTAAATTTTTTTTAGTATTAGACCACGCTATAACAAGAAGAGGAATGGATGTAGAACATTTTAAGTAATAGTGCAATAGAATAATGGAATAATATAAGTGCACATATTAAAGACGACCAACTGTTCAATCTTTTAAAAGCGCTTTAGTTTTCCGCATTTTTTTTGAAAAACAGATGTCGTTGTCGCATTAATTTTTATTCCTCTAGTTGTTTTCATTAACATACCTAATTATCTTTGCTACTAACTTTATCATCAGCATTCGTAATTTATATTAATTCGGCAGAACGTTGTAGTGTCTACATTTTTATCCTCTTTCTTGTTTGGTTTGTCTTTTTTAAGTCAAATTTTGTTCGTCTTTCTGTATTCAATTTGAAAGTATTCTTGTAGTATGCCATAGTATGCCCTATATAAATAGTTGCTTTTCTAAAATTATATTATGGGGAACTGTTCACTCTTGTAACAGATTGCACTTTTGATGTTGGTGTCTTATTACTATATTCAATTGTAGCTTGGTCATCTCAGGTGGTTGAACCATAGTTAATGAATGGTTGAATCGATCATATCTGTCACTAATGACGCTAATAACACGGTTTTTTAAAATAAACAATTAGTTTATGCCTGCATTTATCTAAAACTACCTGCAAACGGTTTCACTTTCGATCTTTTCAACACGCAATACAAAGTTGAAAAGCAATTTCTTTATAGGTTTGTTTGTTTGTTAGGTTTGTTTGTCTAAACAATTCTGTGTTGATAACATTTTCAGTTCTGCTTGTAAATCCGTTTAAGATTTAAAAATCACTAGAGCAACCATTACTCTAGTTTAATTCAATCAATTATCTCTAATACTTAGAAAGAGAACTTTCAAGAAAAATAGATTTAGGAAATTGACTTATCGAAGATTAAGGTGTCGGCGGTATTATACAAATCTACCACAGTGGTCAATGGGGAACAGTATGTGAAGGTTACTTTGACATGAACGATGCGAAGGTCGCATGCCGACAACTTGGCTTTTCCAAAACTGTAGGATACTGGTACTTTGGACGAGGAACCGGTAAAGTATGGCTTAATAACATGCAATGCACAGGCTCAGAGTCCTCACTTGGAAGCTGTTCACACAATGGATGGGGAAGCGTTGCGTCTTACTGCAACAGCCACACATATGATGGTGTTAGTGTTGATATGTTGGTAATATCGGTTAAAACGCTTTCCACATGGTCAAACAACACTGGATGTTGGCATATACTGTTTTTCTTATTGCAATGCATTTACTGTATTTTTTGATATATAGTGAGAGGTCAAGAAATAGTTCAAGATTAAAAAATACGTACTCGATAAGATACATGTTCAAAACCAATTTTTACTTTTTTCTCTTTTTTGAGTAGAGAAATTGCGATTTTTATCGCCCCAGTCAACTATTTTGAGATGTATTTTTTTCAAGAATCAAAAACGAGAATGGTGAAAGGTGGTTTGACTGTAAAATATATGAAAGTAGTTGGGACTTTCACTATGCTTGTTTTCTTTTTTTCAAGTAGTGAGGCTCTGCTGTCTAATTTCCAAGTTTGTTTTTTTTTTTTGCCTTGTTTTTCTATTTTAACAATCATGGTCGACGCAGTAAGTAATATTTGTGATATTTAATTTTTGGTTGTTTACCACCTAAAAATCATAAGGGTAATTATTTACAAAAAATGCAAGGACAACTATAGTTACCGCTAGGGCTCAAGTTTACGAATGCATTAATAGTCAATGAAGAACATTTTGTGATTACCCAAAGCACAATCAATGTGAATGCTGTTGGGGCTTCATTTCGGCAAGTCCATGTGTTCAATATTGGATCGGAAAAGGAATTGGTAAATCAAGGCTGGAGAACAATCTGCGATGTTGACTGGAGCTCAGATGATAGGACTGATGCGCATCAATATATAGATTTAATATTCGTAGATTAATGTGTTGGCGGCATTATACAAGTCTACCACAGTGGTCAGTGGGGAACAGTGTGTGATTATTATAACTTTGACATGAGGGATGCCAAGGTTGCATGTCGACAACTCGGTTATTCCAAAGCTGTTGGATATTGGAATTATGGACGAGGGACGGGCAAAGTATGGTTGTACTATATGCGTTGTACAGGTTCAGAGTCCTCGCTTGCAAGCTGTACTCACAACGGATGGGGAAACGTTTACCATACCTGCAATGGTCATACATTGATGTCGGTGTCGTGTTGAAGTATTCATCATTACTTGATTGCTTTTTATTTTTTTCCCGTCAGRGGCAATGAGGAACAGTATGTGAGGGTGGCTGGGATATGCTTGATGCCAAGGTTGCATGCCGACAACTTAGTTTTACTAAAACCATAGGACTTTCGTACAAAAATAAAGTTCGAAAGTTTTTGGATAATTTATATAGCACTTTTTATAAGTATAAGCTATACATTGCAGAAATATACCCGCTATGGAGGRGTATGACTGAGCTAGGTTTAGGGTTAGGGCCTTGTTTGGATTCGTATTTTAAATGTTGCCTCAGGCTACAATAATCACGCCCATGATAATTCGTATTCCTTCCCATTCTTATTAACTTTGAAGGTGACGTTAGTTTTGACATTATTAAGATCAAATTTCAAATTGGATATCGAAATATTAAATTTTCAGTAGGCGAGGGAACAGTATGTCATTATGGTTATACCTGGGATATTAACGAAGAAGTCAAGGTTGCTTGTGGTCAGTTTGGGTTTGCCAAAGCTATAGGACCTTGGTACTTTGGACAAGGGACGGGGGAAATATGGCTGAATAGCATGGGATGTACAGGCTCTGAATCCTCACTTGGAAGCTGTTCCCACCGTGGATGGGAAACGTTGACTCCAACTGCAACAGTCACACGTATGATGTTGGTGTTGGGTTGTGTTGTGTTTTGAATTAATTATTGCATTAAACACCAATATGCAGTTATTAGTAGATATTACCAGTTGAAATTACAAGTTTTTTCCACCATGGTCATTTAGGAACAGATCATAATATTTGGTAATGGAGTGCAAGAAATCGCAATGTAGGCTGTGTTTAACTTGGTTTAGCTAAAATTGTTCGGGACTTTGGACTAAAGTTGGGCTTACCCGACGTTAAAGTGCACATGAACCCTTCGACAATACTTTCAGTTCTGATTCTATATGCAGTAAATAGTTGAATGGTAAATAGTTGAATGGCAAAAGACAATAATTGYCAGTGGGGAACAGTGTGCGATGGCGCTAGTGGTTTGTATTACTGGGATATGAATGATGCCAAGGTTGCATGCCGACAACTTGGCTTTACTAAAACTGTAGGATATTGGATCTACGGACGAGGGACGGGTAAAGTATGGCTCAACAACATGGGGTGTTCAGGCTCAGAGTCCTCACTTGCAAGCTGTTCACACAATGGATGGGGGAGCGTTGCGTCTTACTGCAACAGCCACAAATATGATGTTGGTGTCGTAATTAAATTGTAATATCGGCTAAAACGTTTTCCACATTTTTAAATAACACTGGATGTTGGCATATACTGTTTTATTATTGCGCCACATTGATTCTATTTTTTTAATTTATTAAGAGATCAAGAAATAGCTTGAAATCAAGACATTTAGTAGCACCTTGTACTTATGTTTATTTAAGGGTCTTTATTATATTGCCTATGTGTTGTTACATTAACATTAATTGTAGTTGTCTGTGATGATGCACTCGTGAAATACAGCATCCAGAAAAAGGAGCAGTTGACTGATTTTAGGAACTATTTGGTACACACTGCGCATGTCAGTTCTCTTCCATCAACATATGGATGACAAGGTAGAGCACCACACCTTCCTTCCACGGGATACAACAGGGCACCATTGAGATTTGCACTCGTTCCAGGAACAGCTTCCGCATTTTTATCGACACAAATAAATTGCGTGGCATGAGCATGATTATGGATAGTCAGACATCAGGTATCCATTGTACTCTCTTGTCCATCCCGCGGGACACTCGTAAGTAGCAGGGATCATCATCTCGGTGCTTCGTGTTGTAACGTAACACACAGCACATGGGGCCTCGTGATCGTGAAGGCTGCTTTTAGTGAATGGGTTGTATGTGCTGACTTGGTATTCTGTACCGTACATGTACCCAGCCTCCTGGTTGCCATCTTTGTATCTTCCATATTTGGGAGTCTCAGGGAGGCACACGTAGTTTGCTCCCCCACCTTTATTGCCATAATGTTCCCCTCCAACACGACCTGGAAATAGTAATAAAATGAATTTCTTTTTTTTTTAAGGGATAGAGGTGCACTAGAATTTTTTTACCTTTGTAAAGAAGAGTAGCATTGTAAGGGCAGGTGGTTCTTCCCCATCGTACGTACTGTACTCCACCACTCGTTTGTCCTGGTAGACCTCTCACACCTTGATGTCCTGTCTCTCCTTTCAAGCCTGGTGGACCTAAGAAAGGGATAATTGTATAATTTATTTCGTTGTATAACTTTTCAAATAGCATGAAAGATCTTACCACGCGGGCCTGGTGATCCATCTTTACCATCACGACCGTCTTTACCATCATGACCATCCTTGCCTAAATATCACGGAGTGATTGAAAAAGTAAAATAATTCAAAATGCAAATTAATAGGAAATGCGTGTTGAAAATAAAACAGTCGAACCTGGTTTTCCTGGCATTCCATCGCGACCATCTCTACCTGAAAATGAAACACACCAGCTTGAAATACAACGTTTGATACCGAAATTAGGTTACTCACCTTTCTATCTTACCTCGAAGCAGATTCTCCTCKTCTTGATTCAACTGCCAAGACTCTGTTAAAGCATATGGATCCATGAATACACCGATGGTCACTAACGACTGCTATTTTTAATAGATTGTTGATGGTGACTGCCTAATGTTACTATACAAGGAATTTTACTTTATCACATTCCAGCTTCATGCGAATCGACTCTTCAGAGTATTTTAAATGTTAGTGTTCATCAGAAACACAAGCAAAACTGGCCAAAGAACAATGTTCGGTAAATATTCAAACCAATTGGAATGTTGGAAATAGACTAATTTATGGAAAATATAAAACTGATATTGTGCAGTTTGACGAGTTCATCATTCTAGAGTTAATATTGTTCGGTATCCGATCCTTGGGATTTACTYTCATTTCTCTTTCTGAGTTACCTTTGTTCGAGTTCAACCAAAAGCCTAAACATGTCAGATATTGTTGTTGGGGGTTTGGCTTGATTAAGTGTTCTTTTCCTTACAACTTGGTCTTGTCCATCGCTGGTTTTTACACTCCAAAGTATAGCAAGGTTTATGGCTACAAGCAGAGCACTGCCGTTATACCACATTTCACTTTGTGACAAAGCTTTGTAGATCCAAGAAAAATAGGAAAATAATACTACTTTGTTGCTTTTGATTGAAATGTTGAAGATACGGAATGAAAATGAATAAGCGGATAGTGCATCTTAAATAGATTTTAAACAATACAACAATACAAGAAATTTCGTGTAAAGCAAATAAAAAATATTATGGAGCAATCTCTTGGACATGTAGTCTGTCACGCGTCTGTCATTAGGTTTCACTTTATCTCAATTAAATAACCAAACAAAATTCGACGGTAGGGCATTTTTGTTAGCCTACAGCACTACGCAATTTATTTCTTTTGCCTTTCTGTTTAACTTGTTTTCATTCATACTTTCATTCGTTCTCTGATTTTCTTCTTGAAAACAAAATCCAGATAGAATAGCAGCAAGCAATACAAAAAAACAGGAGTAGTTTCCTGTTAAACATGCATTCGCATCTTTACCTGTAGTCAATTTAGTCTTAAAGTGTCTCTCATTCGGACCGTAGCTGGTTGGCTGCTTGTAGTGGAAACGAAGGAGTGCAGACGTAAGTCATTTCATCTCATCCACCCTTATTTATTCATTCTTAATATCCACTACTGGTTCAAGATAAAGCCACGCAATACTGAGCTAATTCCAGAAAAAAGTGCAACAAATACAGGACAAATGATTTCCTTTTTAGATAAAGATAATCAAAAATAAGATTTAAAATGGATAATTGGTTCCTCCTCAATATAAATTAGTAGTTATTATTACACTTTAACAAAGTCAAGCATCCTTTTATACCGTGTTAAGAGGTTTAATCAAGAGGAATGCATTATGTTAACACGATTCTTGATTAAGTGAAGTGCTTCCAAGGCAAATCATGCTCGACATAACGTAAGAAAATTTACACTCTAGAAATAATGAACGACCTAGAATTAATAGGATATTTATACGACATTTTATTTCTTTTATGAGAGATTCCAGTGGAAACAAAATTATGTTTGATTTATTGCAAAATTCAAAAACGACATCAAACCATATAAATAGGGCAAGGTTGGTTTTTGATTATATTTCAAGTGCACCTTGCCCCTGATACTATAGCTATACTTTCAGTATTGATTGTGCATAAAAAGAATAGTTGCGTGGTGAAATGTTTCTTCATTTGAATGGTGCGTCTTTAAGTTATGAAGTTTATACTTCCAATATTTTTTTCTGACTGTGCGTCACCCCAGGCTTTTGAGTGTATTTGTTTTAAGTTCTGATACTAAACACTAGCCATTATAAGACATCGAATTTACAATAAAGAATAGTGGGAATAATCATGCTTTTAAAATACTGTTTTTGTGAACCAGTCAAAATTTGTATATTTAATGAAACCTGGAATGATGTCGCAGTCAGTAACATMATTTTTAAATGCTGGATACAGCTCGTATTACTTACTGCAAGAGTTAAAAAAAGGTCTAACAGCATGAAAAGTAGCCTGCGTTAAGTCGGCCTCTAACTAACTGTCCGTCTGCGAACCAGCAACGGCTTGGATTTCAGTACGCGTTCTGATTCTCTACTCAAATTTCAGGTTAGTTTGTTTGTATGATTTAACGTGTGTCTGTTCTTGCCGGGAATAAGTCTCAAATTTATGTCCCGTTTGTTGCTAGTAATAATCATAATTTGTATTTTATGTCATCGAAAGTTATCAATGCACTATGTTTGTTATCTTGTCGAAGGAAATTCAAAGTTAAACGTGAAGTGCGAGTTTGAGATTTATTTTCAATCGACAGAGCGAGTATATATCTGATATATGCAAGTCGCGCTTTCAAACCTTGTCGAGACGAAGTTTAATCCAACTGCAACACAAACTTGAAACCGAATCGCGTGACATACATAAGACGAGAGTCGTATCGAAGGGACTAGCGAAGTTAAAGCATTCTGGCTATTAATGTTCGACTCCCCTTCGCACATGCACAAGACCAATTCCCGCTTCCTTATTCGTTAGTCAGAGAAACCCCTGTTAATTCAATACGTACAGATCTGTCCGTTAAGGTGAAATGAACGAAGTAGAGAAGGAGGCAGCACAGCTGTGTTCAAACTGGGACTCGACAGCTGAAAAAGCTGCGTTCCACAAGTCCTCTCTAAAAATTCGCCGTTTTGATTTCAGTAAGACTGAATAATATGAACAAAGGCTCTGATAACCAATCGAAAACCGCGTTAGTTATAACCAATTAGAATTTACTCTTCAAATCCATACGCGGGGGCGTGGGATCTAGAGAACACGGTTTGTGTCGTTGCTTCGCAGACGGAACGAGAGAAAAGCACGCAGGAAAAATAGAATAGTGAAAAATCAGCCTAATTGCTTATCGCAATAGTGCATAATTATCTGTGACTTAACCTATCGTTTACTATCAACCTAATAAAAAGCATCTAAAAATCCGTTGCAACCAAAGCCTCTCCTCAATGATGACCAAAGGAGGTGGTCTAGTTATTTTTCGTATTTACTTGGTACACATTGCACATGTCAGTTCTCGGCCTTCGACGTATGGAAGACAAGGCAGAGCACCACACCTTCCTTCTACATGATACAACGTAGCACCATCTACGTCGATTTTTGTGCCTGGTACAGCCTCGGCATCAATGTCGACACAAATGAATTCGCTTGGATATGGAAGGTCATAATTTTGAGACATTAGATATCCATGGTATTCGCGTATCCATCCTGCGGGACACTCGTAGGTCGCAGGGATCATCATCTTCGCACTTCGTACTTTAACATAACACACAGCGCATGGAACATCATGATGCTCAAGATTTTCATTGGCAAAAAGTTGGGATTGGGCGTCTTGATATTCGGTTCCGTACAGGTATCCACGGCTGCTTTGGACACCATCTTTATACTTTCGGTAATTGGGGGTCTCAGGAAGACATACGTAATTAGCACCTCCGCCTTTTTGAGTATAAAACGAACCTCCAACACTTCCTAAAATCAGAATATTCCAGGCAAATCAATGGTACATTCTTTCTTAGCGCAAAACCACGTCCCAATCTACACACAACACAGCAAAATATATGACACTGTATGTACTATTTAAAACACGAGCAGCAGTGTTTTGTCAAGTACAAAAGCCCGAGGCGTAGCAGGGGTTTTTATACTTGATAAAACACGAGCTGGGAGTTTTTAAAGTATAGTTTAATAAACGAGCAGGAGTGTTTTATCAGGTTTAAGACCACGAGAAGTAGCCGAGTGGTTTTAGACCTGTTAAAACGCGATCTGCGAGTTTATTGAACGACTTCAAAAAGCAATTAATAATTAATGAGCTTTTAGGGTACGTATTCGTGCCATGCTCTTGTACTCTTTTGGTCCTTTATAAAGATTTATCTATAAACTGTATCTATATTTTCTTGATTACGATGGGCAAACTCTTATGAAACGGCTAAAGTTCAAAACACTATACCTAATGTCTGTATAAACCAGTACTAAAAAGAAATTGCCTTTATCGATCTTTACCTTTATAAGCAAGAGTAGCATTGTTAGGGCAGGTGGTTCTTCCCCATCGTACGTACTGTACTCCACCACTCTCGGGTCCTGGTGGTCCTCTCATTCCTTTTTGTCCAGGCGCTCCTTTCAAACCTGGTGGACCTATTGTTGCAAAAACATGCATGCACTGTTATTTTTCAGGAGTTGATATAACTCTACCAAAAGAGTTAAAGTTACTCTACAGAGTGGAGTAACTTGAAAGAGAGTTAAATCTACTCTACAATGGGAGTAATTTTGACGCTTCCAAGAGTAAAATGTATTCCTCCAAGAGTAAATTTAACTCTTTGGAAATGATGAACAGTTGAACATTACTATAAAGAGTACATTATCAATAATGGAGTAGATTTAAGCATATTTTTAGATAAAAAAGATAAACCATGCTGTTTTTAAGTCATGTTTGACGGAAACAACCAGAGTAAGTTTGACTCTATTTTTGGAGTAAAATTGATGGGAGTCGTTTCAACTCCTTTCGTTAATACGACCCTAGAGTAATTTTAACTCTGACGTATCATACACAAAACTATAATTGTCTGTAGCATTCGACCCCTTTCTTTAAGTTTCACAAGGGAAAAATCATATGCCGTTTTCTTTTTTTTTTTTTTTTTTTTTTTTTGGGTCAAATTTTTTTTTTTCTGGCCGATCGGACCGATGGTAAAGTTCTTGGGNTTTTTTTTTTTTTTTTTTTTTTTTTTTGTGGGTCAAATTGTCCATTCTCTGGCCGATCGGACCGATGGTAAAGTTCTTGGGCTCCTAGCTCGTCAGATCAGCTTCACTTGCTCTAGAGCACTTAAACACTTCCAGAGTCGTCATTTTCTGAATCGTGTTGTTGTGTATCTCTCGTGATGATGTGCTTGCGAATTAGATGATTTCTGTAAGAGAGAACATCAGTTTTTGTAGGTCTTCGCACAGTACATGAATGTTGGACTCCTTAGACCACGTGCACATTACATGACATGTATCAAATTCTCTTGATCGTGATTGGTGGATCTTACATCGGTAATGCCAGGAAGGATTTGGACTATGACCTCAGTGGTATAGAGTATCACTATTTCCTGCAACAACGTCCTGAAGCTTGGAGTTGGAAAGTGCTTGTCTCGGAGTTTAGAGGTTAAAAACCAGGCTAAAACCTATTGAATTGTTATTTCAAAAGTAACTTTTGTGGTAATGGATGACTTACTTTCAAAGGATTCAATATATTGTGCAGGTAAATTACTATTTTGTTCGTATTATTTAGATCAGAAAGTTTAAAGCTTAAGTTTGTTGCGTTAATACTGACAAGAAATCTATAAAAAAATAAAGCTTTCGGTGTTCTGTAACTGCAAAGCGATGCTCCTAAATAAGCATAAGCATCCTTGTATATTGCTGAGTTTGATAAGTCATTAATAAAAGCTTTTTTTGTCCTCTCGTAGGCTATGGGTGCTTGTATGATGCTTTGGTCTCCGCTGAAGTAAAGCAAGAGGCTCGCACCTCACCAAGCTTGTTGACGATGAGGTAAATTCGAAACGAAACTGTCTTCCAAGATTTGTATTCCTTCAAGAAATACTGATATATACACCACACAGCTGGAACATTGAAAAAAAGGGACCGATGGCTTAAGAATGAAAAGATTTAAGAAGATTGTTAATGAGCATGTTTGTCGATGGCGCCAAACATGCTCATTAACGATATAGACAAAAATTTGAATTTGAATTTGTTTTTAAACTTGTATTGGCGCCCGGCATTAACTGTGCACGTATCTGTGAAGACATAAAACGATTTTTATCTGTGCCCGTTTAATTAAATACAAGTTTCAAAACAAACTCGAAATCAGAATCTTAATAATTATCATCTAGCCTTGAAAGGAACGTTAGCTGGTTTGATTGCAACGGAAAAATGAGGAAGTATGAGTAGAGATTATGTCAAGCAGTGAACGCAGGCGACATAAAATGTTGTTATTAAATATACTTATCAATTCTGCATCATTGGTTGTAACTATATTGCTGTATTGTTAGTAAATTATTATATGTAATAAATAATTTGTTTTTAAACCAAATGTAGTTTTGTAGTCATTGTTGTTATTATTCTTCAAGGGAGGAGGTGATGAGAGGTATCTTTAAGTAGGATAACGTACAGTGGGAATTATTGAAGCTTAAAAAGCAAGAAAAAATCTACTCCTGAAAAGGTGTAAATTTTACTCCTTTCAAAAGTGACAAACAGGGAGTTATAACAACTCCGAAAGGATAAATTTTGACTCTGTTAGGGGGTTCAAAACAACTCCCATGTAGAGTAAAAGTCACTCTTTCATGGGAGTAAACGTTACTCTTCATAGGAGTAAATTTTACTCTTGGAAGGGAGTTAAATCAACAGAGTTAAAGTTACTCCAAAAAAGGAGTTATCCTGTACCTTTTTTTTCTACTCCACTTTTGGAGTTATATCAACTCCTAAAAAATAACAGTGTGTTATTGATAATTTCGTCTTTCTTTTAACAAGAGTGTTTATGTTAATAAGAAAGTTGAAGCGTAGAAACCAAAACATTCAACCAATAATGTTTGTTTTAGCTTCAAAACTGACCAATTGTCTCCGGTGATCCGTCTTTACCATCCCGGCCATCTTTACCATCGCGACCGTCATTGCCATTGCGACCATCTTTGCCATTAAGGCCATCTTTGCCGTTAACACCATCTTTGCCGTTAACACCATCTTTACCTGAATTGATAAAAAAAAAAACAAATAAAAAATATAAACTGGACATAAACCAAGACCTTTAAACTACACCAGTAAAGACATATTAATCCGTTAAGCGTTATGCGAAAGTTTTTTTTCGTTTTTCTAACTAAATGTTAAAACTTACGAAACAATCTACCGAGGGCAGTTTCGAGGCAAAACCTTTCCCCGACACACTTGTATCAAGTACAAGATTAGAAAATAATTTCATTTTTTTGCTAGACTATTATCTTACACGGCAAAAGTTTTCATAGTTTAAACTAAAAGTTTTCAACGTTCATTTCCCCTAATTGAACTATTTGTGTTCTGTGTAGATTTCACCTTGTTTTCCTGGTTGGCCATCACGACCATCTCTGCCTAATGGAAAAAGCATTCAGGTATTACCAACCAGTACTGATTAATCCTCTTTTCCTTTTAACCTTAAACATATCTTTAACACTGACTCACTCACCTCTCAGAAAAATAGCTCGCATTGATTCAATCTGGCTTATTCTGAAACAACATCGAGCACAGACATGACTTTATACAGCGATGAAAAAAATATTTTCTTTAAATGAGAACACCTATTTATTTTTAATAACTGTTTGGCTCTTTCTAAAGAATATAATAAAGGATTTTAAGGTCCACCTGGGGAGTAAACGCACCTTTTTTCAAGGTTTGTCAGCAGCTTGAACATGTCAACTAACGTTATAGGAGGAGTTTCCGTGGAGTCCAGGGTCGATTTCCTCGTATTATGTGACTGCACATCATTTGTTTTTACCGTACACAACGTAACAAGAATTACTAATACAAGCATTAATATGGCTTTATAATATATTCCACTACTAAACGATACAGACATCCTGATGCAAATAATTTAAAGGGCGAAAACCGCCTTCAGAATGTTCTTTTACAATCTGCAGGCGAGTCAACCGTGATATGACCATGAGCTTGAGCTTGTTTTCGCCTTGCCTGGTATTAGAAACAGATAAAATGAGCTCAAACCCCCTTCTACGATGCGATATGGATTATGTGGTGAGTGAGTCCCTTGTCGAGTGACAACTAAAATCTAGAAAATCTCTGAAGTCAAACTGTTCTGGCAGATAAGCTATTTTCTGTTCCAAGCCAACGTGTTCATTAATGATCACTGGTTATCTCCTTGACCAGCCTGTGCATGAAGCCCAAATATCCTTAGTATAAACATATCAAATGAAAGCCGGGGTGCTTTCTGTAACTTGTAAGGGATACTGAGCATGCGTATAGTAAGCGTAATACTTGATATTCGTTTTGTGTAGAGGTGTACTGAGGCTTACTAAAAATTACATTTACTTAATTAATGATGCACTGGAACATACTAATCACTTAGGCCTGCTAAGTAATTTTTTTACTACTAATAATAAATAGATTCGTAATGGGTAAGAATAATTTGAAAGTATTCTGCTAATATTTAGAAAAGAAATTTAGAACACATTTTGCCTTGCCGAGAAAATGGCGTACAACATTCCATTGTTTCCGGAGCATGGTGCATTTGGTTCACTAGGATCTTTTAAACTTAACAAGCCAGCAGTTTTACAATATGCTACGTGTCACACATTCAAAGATTTTGTCCGACATGCGTGGCAAAATAGATTACCACAATGTCATCTTTCTAGGGATATTTTACCATTCAACTATTTACTTCATGTGGAATCAGTACTGAAAGTATTGTCGAATGGTTCATGTGCACTCTAACTCCGAAAGAAAATGACTTGCGCTATATTGTTTTAAAGTGATCAACTAAGCTATCAATGTTTGGTGTTTCAAAAACACAGTACCAGTGTTAGTTGATCTCCAAGCTGCTTACATTAGTATCATTTGTAGTATATTGTGTCATCTGGAGTGGAAAGTATTGTATAGCGAAAACACTATGAAAAAAACTCCCTTCCCTTTCGTTAGAGTACACCTTTCAGTACTGATTCTACATGAAGTGAATAGTTGAATGGTAAAATATTTCTTGATTTGAGTGATTTTCTTTAAGTTATGAAGGTTTATACTTCCAATATGCTAATAAGTGTGACGTCTGATTAAGGCTTAATTAAATATACAAAATTGAACTGGTTCATAGAAACAGTATTTAAAAAGCATCATTATTTCACTCAAGGTTGACATCTTTATTTTCAAAATGGCCAGTATTTAGTATTACTAGTATCAACAAAAAAACACTCAAATACCTTACTTGACGTCACCATCATTAACATGTTGGAAGTATAAACCTTCATACCTTAAAAAAGCATCACTCAAATCAAGAAATATTTTACCAATCAATTATTTATTTTATGCAGAACCAGTGCTGAAAGTTTTCTTGAAGGGGTTAGTTGCACTTTAAGAACAAAAAAACACTTTATTTCATATCCATTTTATTGGTATTTTGTTAGTTTGTTGTCTTTTATTAACGTTTATTATGCATTGCATAAAATGCAGATAAAAAATGATATTCCTTAGGGGAAAATTACATTACAGAAGCGTTATTTCACTCTTTCCTTATATAATGTACTTACTGCGTAATGTACATACTTTTTATGAGCTTATTCGAGAAAAAAACGCCTAAAAATCTAATTTCTTTTAGAAAAAGTTTATTTTTCTAACACATTAAAAAATAGATTTTTGTAGGATTTTTGTTCCCCTTTATGAAAGTCTTTGAGAGCACTGAAAAGACAAAATATGACAAGTCAATGTGTTTATTTGTCTTTTTGTCAAACATATCCACGTATCATTGTAGAATGATACACTAGCCGTCTTTACGCTAGTCTGCAAAAAACTATTGTCTTATGAATCGTAATAGTATTTTCTGAACACTTCCGGTGGCGCAATTTTTTCTCCAAAAACTCGAACGTAGGCATCCATTTAATGCATAATTTATCGAGAGCGAGCTTGGGGATACCCCATTTTTCTTTTCATATTTGGAATCAGCATTTAATTTTAGGTTAAGAAAGTTTTAATTTTCTGTTTATTTTTTTCAAAGTAGTCAGCCACTTTAAAAAGTGATATACATTACCTTGATCAAGGCTAGCTATTTGTTAGATTTTGTTTGTTGTAATGAAAAAGGCAATTATGAGGAGTTACTTAGTACACACTGCGCATGTCAGTTCTCGTCCGTCAACATACGGAAGACAAGGTAGAGAACCACACCTTCCTTCCACGGGATACAACAGGGCCTGGTCAATATCAGCTTTTGACCCAGGAACAGCCTCTGCATCCTCATCAACACATATGAATTCTGATTTTGCATATCCATAATAATCAGTCATCAGATATCCATGGTACTCCCGTGTCCATCCCACGGGACACTCGTAAGTTGCGGGGATCATCATCTTGGCACTTCGTGTTGCAATGTAACACGCAACACATGGAGCGTCGTTCTCGTTAAGGCCTGAAGTAGTTAATGGATTAAAGTCGCCAAGCTCATATTCGGTACCGTATAAGTATCCAGCGTTCTGGTGGCCATCTTTGTACCTTCCATATTTGGGGGTCTCAGGGAGACAAAGGAAATTGGCACCTCCACCTTTATGAGTATAGTGCGAACCTCCAATACGACCTGGAAAGTTTTTATAAACATATAAGAGAAAGCAAACGCTTTAAAAAAAAATTATTTTCATACCTTTGTAAAGAAGAGTAGCATTGTAAGGGCAGCTGGTTCTTCCCCATCGTACGTACTGTACTCCACCACTCTTGGATCCTGGTGGACCTCTCACACCTTGATGTCCTGTCTCTCCTTTAGAACCTGGTAGACCTAGAAGGAAAAATTCACAAACAATTCATTATATTTTAAAATCGCTAACAGATATAAATTTTGAGAATAATAGATTGTTTTTTCTTTGACCTTTCTTCTAGATTTTACTAAATGTCCATTTTCCATGCATATATCATACCCATTGGTCCGGTTGCGCCATCTCTACCATCACGACCGTCACGACCATCTCTACCTGTTTGAGAAGTAGTGCCATAAACCGTTTAGTGCCGTTTTATCTATGTAACTGGGCTTGAACAATAGGATTTTCGTCCTTAGACGCTTTACTTTATTGGATTTCATTATTAAACGAGGCATTATCTAAAGTGCTACATTTGTTTGCGGACTCTTTAGATAAACTTGTTTTAATCAATGGCGGATACAGGTTCGTGGGGCACCTCCTGGGCAATGATAATGTAGCAGCGACGCAACAATTCCTATCACATGTACACAACTCTTCTCCAGGTATTAACCGCAACTTTTGATAGATAATCAACTCTCTTTTTTATTAAAAATAACCTTTTACTTTTAATTATTATATGTATTTCACTGGTTATTAAATATGTTTAATAATCCGCTACTGAAAGATTCCAAAATTCTTACCTCGTATTATTGATGCTCGTTTTGATTCAAGATGGATGATTCTGAAAAAATAGTTCGTTGTTTAATATATTTTATATTTGTAACAACTCTGATATTAATTTGGCTTTCTAATTTGTTTGAAGCGTTTGTTTTAGGCGTCGTACTTTTAAACATTTCACTTCTGTTTTTACTCATGTAGTTAAAACTGCAAACATCAGGCGCGCGCATTTCTCTTTTCTTCATTATTGAGCACAACCTATATTTTTAATAATTATTAACATATAAAGCAAATATAAATATTATGATAGCCTGAGCATTTATTAAATAAAGACTAGCCCTAAGATAATCACCAAATCATTAATTTAACGTTTGTTTCTTCTTAAAAAATACCGGCGGGACCGCAGGCAAAACCTTTTGACTAATTGCCCAAAACTAAATAATATAAAAAACTATGGTATGTCATATGTTAAAAAAAATTTCCGTAGATGAAATATGTACCTTTTTTCGAGATTCATCAACATGTTTACCACATCAGACAGTGTTGTTGGCGTATTCGTTGGATTGACCACCTTTTTCTTCGCATTTTGTTGTTGTACATCAGTTGTTCTCACAGAACGAAACATAAATAGACTTACTGTTACAAGCAGTACAACACTCCACCTGATTATTATCCAAATAATTTCAAATGGAATACTTGAAAGTAGATTCTCTGTTTCGTATTTGTAACCCGCAGAGGAGTCAACGCATTAAATGSCCAAGGGCTAAAGCTTCTTTTGACTTCGCCTGTTTGTGGAACGTGCAGTTGACCAGACTGAGAACGAATTGCACTGAAAAGTTATATTTGTTCGCAACACCTTTTGTGATGCAGTAGGGATCATATGTTGATTGATATGAGGACCCCTGTCAAAATAATATCTTCGTACCTTCATTCTCAACTCCATTTGTTCCATGCTGATAAACTGTTTCTGGTTCTAAACTCAGTCTTTCTATCAATAATAACTCATTATAACTGTTTATCCATGGTTCACCAGTCCATTAAATTAAGTGATATATATGGCTGCAAGTTGTAAAACTATTAAATCAAAGAATCTTGGAAAGTCTAGACCTCTAGAAAACCTCCAGACCTGCATTTGTTCCATGCTGATAAGCTGTTTCTGGTTCTAAACAAAGACTTTTTATCAAGAATAAATCATTAGCTGTTTATCTACGGGTCACTGTAGTCCATTAAATTAAGTCATATGATTACCAGTTGTAATAATATTATATCAAACAAACTTGGAAAGTCTAGACCTCTTTAGCAAACATGGTTAAGTTACAAATTCTTAAAGCATTTATAGTCCAAATTACATGCACCTTAAAGTAAGAAATATAAACAAGCAAGGCAACTCATCTTATTTTCTTATTAAGTTTTTGTATTCAATATAATTTCTATTCATATGTAGTATAGTTAATCGACATGATAATTAGCTTCTCTTTTTACTAGCAGTTCTATTCAACTAAGAAATACTAAAGGTGGCTGACTACTTTTGAACGTTCGATTTGAGCCCACGATGTGCGCGCGCTCAAAAACCGCTGAATAAATTTCAAGGTTTTATTGAAGAACCATACACGCTTTGAACTTCAAGAGGGAAAAAAACCCTCAAATTTTTTACGGAACTCTTTAGATACTTTTTTTGTTATTTTCCGGAATAACAGGTAATATCCCATTATTAAGTTTAATACGATTATGTTTATTAGAACAATGTAAAAAATCGTTGTTTGCTTTATGTTCAATTTTTACGATAACTTGCGGCACACCGTACAGCCTGAACAAAAACGTTTTTTCATTGTCTACAATAGTTTATTAAAAAACATTTTATCAGCATTTTATAAATATAGTAAGAGTTACGTGTTGAGAAAGTTACTAATGTTTCTTCCTTAGTTTCGATTTTATGATTTTTTTGTACAGAGCTTAAACGCATGTAATTCCGGAGTGATTATCTCAAAAACAAGCTTTGGACACCCCAATTTTCTTTGCATTTTTGATATCAGCATTAAATTTCAGGTTAAAGAAGTTTCAATTTTCAATTTTCTGTTTATTATTTACCAAAGTAGTCAGCACCTTAAACCAAACCAACCATAAAAAGGTTCACTTGGTACACGTTCACATTGCGCATGTCAGTTCTCGTCCGTTAACATATGGATGACAGGGTAGAGAACCACACACACCTCCCACGGGATACAACAGGGCACCATTGAGGTCCTCATGAGTTCCTGGTACAGCCTCTGCGTCATTGTCAACACAGATATAGTGGGTAGGATGTGCATGATTATAAAGGTCGGACATCAGATATCCATGGTACTCTCTTCTCCATTCCGCCGGACACTCGTAAGTCGCAGGGATCATTATCTTGGTACTTTTTGCTTTAACAAAGCACACAGCACACGGGGCTTCATGATCATGAAGATTACTTGTGTTAAACGGGTTGAATGTGTTCACTTCCTACTCTGTACCGTACATGTATCCAGCGTTCTGGTGGCCATCTTTGTACCTTCCATATTTGGGGGTCTCAGGAAGACACACGTAATTAGCACCTCCACCTGAATGACTATAGTGTTCTCCTCCAATACGTCCTAGAAATTAGGGAAATTGGAATTGTTACTCTTTTTACTTGATAGTGTAACCAATTTAGTTTAGTCTTCACTTTACCTTTGTAAAGAAGAGTAGCATTGTAAGGGCAGATGGTTCTTCCCCATCGAACGTACTGTACTCCACCACTCTTGGGTCCTGGTGGACCTCGCACCCCTTGACGTCGAGGCTCTCCTGTCAAGCCTGGTGGACCTACTCAAGTAAAAAAATAATTTGAGAAAATCCCTTATTTACAAATTTTCAAATACTTAACTATTTGTTACTTACCTGGTAAACCATCTCGCCCATCGCGTCCATCTTTACCTAAAGAAAAAAWAATAATGAAATAATTCGCTCAGTTTTTATCGAAAGAAAGTTGCATGTTCTAGCATTTCTGATATTATTGAATGTGCTTTTGATGTACACATTTTGAAGGTATTTTAGTTAATTGAACCTTAAATACGTACCAGGTTTTCCTGGTGGGCCATCGCGATCATCTCTACCTATAGAGCACAAAACCACTATTCATTATCACAAACATGGAGTATAAATTCAAGTCTATCCTTTCAACTTACCTCGAAGCAGCAAAGAACGTTGTGATTCAATCTGAATTATTCTGAAATGCAATGAAGTGATACAACTAGCCCTGATTTTGTTAAACCTTGTAAAAAATGCGATAGAGAATTTCCGAAGCTAAAGATAAAACCACATTTTGAATATAAAAAATACTGAAAGCACTGTATACATGCTATTAATGTGCTATATCCTGTATATTATCCTGGTTAATGGTTAAGGATAAGCTTAAAATGATAAGAAATATCAGTTGCAGCAACCATTTGATATTTTTTTACAGAATTTCAAATTATCTGTTTTGAATGCGATACCTTTTTTCGAGATTCCTCAACATGTTAACCACATCAGACAGTGTAGTTGGTGTTTTCGTTGGATTAACAACCTTTTTTCTCGCACTCTGTTGGTGCGCCTCAGTTGTTTGTACGAGACAAAAGACAACAAAACCCACTGCTAAAATCACTACAGCTTTGAACCACATTCTGCTGCCAGACGATAGAAAAAATGCGGTCCAAAGACTTTGAAGAAGAAAACATGTCAATACAATCCTCTTTTTTCAAGGAGTAAGCTATCAGACAAATAGAGTCGAAGAGTCTGTGACAGTTGCCTTGTAAATATTCAATGATAAAGAAGTGGCGTTTGTTATCTTAATTACTATTTGGTGTCTGCTATTGTAAATGTTTGATTGAGAAAGGGAAAATACAGGAAGCACTGACGAAAAAACTTATGCAATGAAAGTAAGCCATGCTGTTATATATTTCATGTAAAAGAAGGTTCTGTGTTGAGAAACTCAAACATATTTTATTTCATAATGTTACCAGGTCTGTAATAAAGGATCACGGTGTCATCACTTATTGTAGCATTTTTAAAATTCCAGTGCTCAAAAACAAAACATAAWTTGTAGAGCTTCTCATTTGTTAATTAACGCTTAGTTGTTTGATTTGTTAGGTAACGTAAAAATAGCATTCGTGTGCTTCCGGTATTCATATCCAGTTTGTTCATCCTTGCTTTTTGGGAGAGGGGGAGGGGGGGGGAGGGGTGGGGTGATCCCTAAATTGGGACACGACTTCGGCTCAAATGGCATGAAATGGAGGTTCCCTCCTATCACTAAGATTCCTCACCAACCTATCTTTGTCACATTTTCCTTACTATTCTCATGAGGGAATTAATAAAAGAAATAAAAAATCCACGATGCATACTGATAGCAATAGATAATGACGGAATTATCCTACCTCTCATTAGGAACGTTGAATATCCGAGGTTAAAAAATTATTAGTTCTAAGATCACACACTAACCTTTCTAACTAAAGTTGTTTTTCAGCAGATGGATGACAAAAGTACTCCACCTTATCATAATTCGTCAATGAATAGGTGCAGCGGAGTTTGGCTTCCTGGTAAAGTGTTGGACAACCTCATCATTAAGAAATGTTTAATCCAAACATTTACATGTTTAACGACCTAAAGACACCTTGTTCTACTCCAGACGACAAAGACATTCCCAACACAATCTTTAAGCCCATCAACCAAAATAGCAGTAAGTCTTTTGTTATTACATTTTCTTGTAAATCAAAGCAACTTATATCTTGATCATCTCAAATATTCGATAACGAATGTTTTAGTTCAGAGACCTACTCTGATTTTCTACAGTACATACGGTAAAATCCCGCGAGTAAGAACCTACATTTTTAGAGTTAGCCTAAACAGGTTCTTGTTTAAATGGCAGTTAACACAATTGTAACAAGTTCTTAATTTCCAGGCTCTTACTCGCGGGTATTTACTGTATGAGCTAAATATTAAACCAATGAAATCAATATATATCCCTTTTACCCGAAAGGAATCAGTTCTGGGGAAAAAACAGTGGTTGTTTTTGTACATAATAAAAAGACGCCCTATTGTTATGTCTCCCAGAACAATTCCTCTAGGAAATCAATACAAGGGGTCTATATCAAAAGTGTATGTAAAGAGAATTATCAAAGTAATCAGGATAAATCATTTTGATATGATTCTTTACGACTAAGTTACATCGTTAGCTTTCATTTATATCTGGTTAATCGATATGATCGATTAGTTTATCTAGATTAAGAATTATTGATGCTATTATTAGATATTATTCATGTGAGAAATACTTCAATCAAATCATGTATAATACGGTTTACCTAGTACACACTGCGCATGTCAGTTCTCGTCCTTCAACATATGGAAGACATGGTAGAGAACCACTACTTCATTCTACAGGATACAATAGGGCATCATCGAGGTCGCTATGAGTTCCTGTTACAGCCTCTCCACCCTCATCAACGCAAATGGATTCTTTGAATGATCGTGGCCATAATTTTCAGGCATCAGGTAACCATGGCAATTAGCGCATCCCTTTATGCTCAAGCACTCAAAACAAACGTAACGCAATGTTATACGTTTTAAGAAAATTTCATCCCGTGAAAAGTTACATGATTGCATTACTGTTTATGTCGAATAAAACAATGAAAAAAATCATCTTTATTTAATCTTTATATTTTCTTTTTAACAGCGCATTATTTGTCAGGATTAAAAATGATTAAACTTTATCGTTTTAAGAACAGACTTTAAGTTAATGCTCACAGTGCCGTTTTGCTAAATACATTTGAAATTCAGTCCCCCTGTAGTCATAATATATAGCTCAAGTATTAATAGTACAACATTCTTCGCGTTTTTTCGTGCAAATGAAACACAAGCATCGATAAAATCGTAACGTTATTTAGTACACACTGCGCATGTCAGTTCTCTTCCGTCAACATATGGATGACAAGGCAGAGAACCACACCTTCCTTCCACGGGATACAACACGCCACCATTGAGGTTGGCACTTGTTCCTGGTGCAGCCTCTGCGTCGTTGTCAACACAAATAAACTCGGACGCATGTGATTCGTCGTAATATGCAGTCATGAGGTATCCATGATACTCTCTTGTCCATTCCGCGGGACACTCGTTAGTCGCAGGGATCATGATCTTGGTACTTCTTCTCGTAACATAACAAACAGCACAAGGAACGTCGTGATCATGAAGATCGCTTGTAGTGAAAGGGTTATAGAAAGTAACATGGTATTCTGTACCGTACATATATCCCGCTTTTTGGACACCATCTTTATACCTTCCATATTTGGGGGTCTCAGGGAGACACACGTAATTAGCACCTCCCCCGGAATGTGAATAGTGTTCACCTCCAATTCGCCCTAGRAAGTGTTGAAAGTTACGACGTTACTCTTTCGAAAAGTTTATCACTTGATAGTGTAACAATGATTGACATTACCTTTGTAAAGAAGAGTAGCATTGTAAGGGCAGGTGGTTCTACCCCATCGTACGTACTGTACTCCACCACTCTTGGGTCCAGGTAGACCTCTAACGCCTTGGTTTCCTGGCTCTCCTTTCGAACCCTGTGGGCCTAAAGAACCAATAATGAAATCCCTTTCTTYTATATTGTAATCATTTTTATCTACATACAAACTGAAATGCTGTGTTGGCCTATACTAGTTGTTCATTATGTGTATTTTCCGTTGGATACYTATATGTTTGATGCGTTAAATTTATGAACATTTCTCCAAATTATTAGCGAGAGAAATTACTTTTACGATGTACAAATGACTTACCCATTGGTCCAGGAGCGCCATCCCTCCCATCACGACCATCTCTACCTGTCATAAATGATTTTTCCATTAGTCAAGTTTTCTACCTTATAAGTACTCGGATATTATTAACATACTGTCCATACTACCATTATAAATACTATTCAGTACCAAATAATTTTCCTTTTCGTATTTATTTTATTATTTCAATTAGTGTTACAGACTCACCTCTTAGAATTAGTGATCTCTTTGATTCTAGGTCAATGATTCTGAAACAGAGAATTGAACTTATTTTGTTTAATCTCTTTAATAACCATGAGCAGTTAATCAATTCATCGGTTTTGTTTATGCGGTTTGACGTAATACAAGCAATAGTGGTTAAAGTTGAAAACACATTCCATGAACGAACTAGAGTATCGAAAAAGTAGTAGCAATCATATTACAAGCAAAAAATTGTTGACCATTTAAGTTTTTCGTGTCTTCCTAATGACATATTTTATAGCCAAAAAATATAATAATGCATTTAAAAAATAGTGCATTTACCATCATAGCCATATACCCTATATTAGTTTCATAATGCTAGTTAGATTATGATTAGAAATGTTTATAGTCTTGAGAACGTTGCGCACCTTTTTTCGAGATTCATGAAAAGCTGAAACATGTCAGCCTGTGATAAAGAAGCGGCGGCTTTCGTTGGATCAATAACCTGTTTCCTCACATTCTGTTGCTGCACATCAGTTGTTTGGACACCATAAAACATAACAAAACTTACTGCTACAAGCAATGCAGCTTTACACAACATTCCCCTATTACAAAACAACATAGACATTTTTAACGGATAAGGCTCTCAGTGTTTCTACGAGCGAACTAACAGACAAGTAGATCAAATTTCAGTGTTAGCACCGCCTTATATAGCATTGTGAAATTCTAAATTAACATTAATATTTATTGTAAAGTAAGCATGTTGTGACTTATCAAAATCTCTTATTTATTCATTGGTAATCAGTGATGCTTATTGCCTTAAGTATTACATGCAGCTGGAAGGGTTTTATTGAGAAAGGATCAATGTATGAACTATTGAAAAAAGTACTTGTACAATGGAAATAAGTAATGTTGTAGTATAAAACATTGGAAAACAAGTCCTATCCCGGGAGACTCAAACACAGTTTGTTTCATTATGCTACTAGGTCTGTATTCAATTGTTCAACCTTTCTAACTAAGGATTGTTTTTCCACAGCTGGATGACAAAGTGCTCAACCACATCGCCCTTCGTAAATGGATATCCGACAGAGTTTGGGTTCCTGTTACAGTGCTAGGGCCCTCATCTAGAAGAATGTTTCATCCAAACACATATTTAACAGCCTGAGGACATGCTTCTGCTGCTATTTCTGCTCTATGCCCACAGGGACCCCGGCTTAGTGATGCTAAATCGGTAAAATGATCATGTTTCATTTGTTGATGACATTACATAAATAATCGTAACTCAATACACCCATTCAGTCTAGCCAATCAAGAATTAATACTGATTTTTACCCGGAAGTTTATTTCTAACCTTTTTGACGTTATGGTAGACGTTGCAATTTTTCGCTGTAACAAAAATGTGAAATTGCTTTCCCAGCGCGAGAAAAAATTGCAAGTTGTATCGGCAGCTTCCCATGCTTTCCATGCATATTTATTGCAGGCATCTAATTATTTTAATGGATCGAATAACAGTGAATTTCGAATTTGGTTTTAATGTAAAAACCCTTATGTGCAAGTTTCTTAGTGTCGTTTCTTTTCCATCGACAGTTTGGTACTGAGTGCCTAGTGTGGTGGACCATCAAATTGATGCTAACATCTGCTTCTGTTAAGATCTTGAAAGAATAGCCAAAACTACATTAATTTTGACAACAGTTTTTAGTTTCAGACGACTGAAAACCTAGCCGCAGTTGAAATCATTGTATTTATAAGGTAACTAAATAAAACCGCTTTTACCACATAATGTTTTTCAAACAAAAATAGATTTTTTAGATAGTAATAGATTTTCTTAATTCTATATCATATACATATATTTTTTAATATAGCTATAGTAGTCGTAAAGTGCTTTGAGAATTGGATGTAAAAAGCGCTATTATCCATCCCATCCATTCATCCATTTTACCAATCGTCATCCATCATCTATTCCTCCATGAAGACCTGACCGAAGATATAGAAACGTCGCATCGTTTTTGTGCCTCAACCTCTCGGCTTAAAGAAACGCATTTTCCCATCCCATGCATGTTTTTAAATTCCAATCTACATACGAATTCCTTCCAACAGCCAACCTTGATTCCTTCCATTTTATCCATATGCTTTATAATAATAATAATAATAATAATTGACTTTGTTTATAGAGGATAACACTTGACAGTAATTCAACTGATAAACTCGTGGTCCTCTTTTAACGTCTCTAGTTAATTAGGGACGGGACCGCCATTAACGTGATCATCCGAGCCACGTGAAGGTCTAACCATTTGCAGATGTAATTACAAAGGCAGCACCTTCTCCTCAGTTATTTTAAGACCCTGAGTGTTGGTCCGGCCGAGGCTCGAACCACGACCTCCCGCACAACAGACCGACGCTCTTACCAACTGAGCTAACCGAGCTAACCTTTCATACTGGCATCTATTCATCGCATTCCGCTTCAATTCCATCAGATTTTTATTTTCTCATTCCTAACGCATGTTCATTCCGTCTTTACGCAGGGACCTGCTGGCATACTCAGCTGATCTTAGTGCCGACCTGTATCGTCCACACCCACAGAGGTAAGAAGTAACTATGCACTTCCTACGTAATACAACGGAACTCCGAGATTTGAGTTGACAATGTTTTCCCAATTCAGCGTGAAAAACCTCCTGAGGATTCATTTTCTTTTGTTTTTACTCTTCGAAAAATTCATGAGTATCCCAAAGGATACGAAAGCAATAACGATGATATCCCGACGAATTGCAAACCAATAGCTCTTTATTCCCCCAGAGGTTTGTCACGTTCAATTGGGAAAACATTGTCACACCACGAATAAGTTCTAAATATTTTAGTGAAATGTAATGGTAAACACCGCCCTTCCCCAACCCCCTTCACGAAACCCGTTGAATAAAGATCAATACTGGAAATCCGTTTTGACTCTTCCAATAACCAAATATGTTGTTTAGCATACATACGTACAAACAGAAAATACATTTWAAAAATACATTCATTTTCTTCATACCGTAGGATGACAATTGCGTTGATCTTCATTTTTGGTACTACCCCCTGGAGCTGGAACTCACCCAACGGATGTCGAAGTCTTCACTGAGTCACAAGGTAAGCCTTGATACTTTTCCATTCGACCCGCGTTACACTGCGCGACACTCGTAAGGCGCCTGCATCTATTTTGAAACTTCTTGCACATTTTACGAGCTTGTCAGCTAACATTCATACACTGGATACCCACTGTGATAGCAGGAATGTATATTTGACTTTAAAAAATTTGAAATTTCTCTCCTGCATCGTCTTGTACTGGGCACTTTTGTTGTGTATTTTTTGACATTACCCTTCCCCTCCCGACTTCATAGCACATGCTTTCCAAGCTTGATTCGTGGTTCAAATCTTTACTAAAGTTTTTTTAAGGTTTTGTATGTGGGCACCTTCGGGACCTTGCCTGGTTTCCGCTTAACAGAGTTGTTTGTTAAATTTCCGGTTTTTTTATAATGTAAATGCAAGGAAAGATAATTTTTGTATTGAAGAAGTTTTTTAAATGGACATTTATCACGCGGTGTCATATTTTTTCTCTTGAGAATAAAATAAAGTACTTTGTCTAACCACGCTTAGACTCATCTTGAAGCGTTTGAATGCAAGGCCATGCGGGGCATAAGATCAATAAATTGATATTCCATCACTATCACTGTTATGAGTTTGGCTTAGAGTGAAGATTTGCCTTCTTTGAGACTTGGTTATATATTCAATACTTATTTTGTAATTCCTGGTAAAATGAGTTAATTTATGCTGCTCTGTTAATTTCCGCAGGTAGTTGGCATGATGGATAACAGTATTACAGATCTAGACGAAGAAATAAAGGACAGAGAAGAACGTTGCTGGGGAATCGGAAAAGAAAGGAAAACCAAGCCTTCAAAAACGTCTGAAAATGGAAGGAACGTACACTTAAATGTAAACGATTTTTTTTTTAATATGAAACAAAATGTAGAGATAGGAGTTGGAAATAGTAGATGGAAAAAGGAAAATGGAAAATACGTACGGAGAAACAAGAAGCAAAGGAAAAATTAGTAAAAATCGTAGTTAAAACGAATGAAAAGAAAGAGAAAAGCGGTTAAAAAAGAAAGAAATGAAAAAACGATGATATTTGAAAAGATGAAAATAAAAGATAGAATGGCGCAGACTGAATAGGAAAATAAATCTAGAACATAGGAAGAGAGGACAAKAAAAAGATGTGAAGAACATAATCAAAAAGAATGAAGAGAAGGAAAAAAAGAATTAAGAAGGTTAAAAGGAAAAATATAACATGCACAAAGCAATTAAAAAAGATAAGAATATATGCAAACATGAAACTTARAAAATAAATACAGTTTAGTGGTGTTGAAAATGACAAATATAGTTAACTATGACAAAATATTTGATGGTAAAATTGTGAAAATAAAATGAGCTTTGTTACACGATAAAGATATTTTAAAAATATATTACAGACTTTTAGTCATTAATTCATTTCTCTCCTATTTGCCCCAATTCATTACTAACTCTCCCCCCTCCCAATGCAATGCACACACCCAAAGCACCCTTCGTTTCAATACACCTCTCAATTGAAGCACCCCCCAGTACATATACCCAACTGATAACGATCTCCAGATCACTATAAAAATTACCGAGAGCGAGGCTAAAATAAGAAGTAAAAGAGAAGTAATAGAGTACAAACAATATAACCGTGAAACTTTACTAATACTAAATAGCACAATTTCATTCAAATTCCATTGTTTCCTATCGTTTTCTATTTTGTACTATTTAGTAATTAGTGTTTCACGGATTAATTGTTTGCACTCATCACACATTCTTACGAGAAAAATTGGAGTGATTCAATTCTTTTGTATTTTCCTGTCCTGCTCATTTTACAGGGTAATTGTGACAGTGACTGTACAATGATCCATCAACACCTTGACCGTCAACAATGCAAACAAAATAAGACATTAATTTATTAAGTGCTAGATTCTTTGAGGCTTGCTTCTCTTTGTTTCAAGAGAAAAAAGAAATGAAAGGAATTAACGATTCTCGAGAAAACGACGTGACTATAACACGGAACACTGCAAATATTACGCTCAACAACTAAAACTAACAATACATTGTTAAAGTATTAGATTCTTTGGGACTCGCGGCTTTAGCTTCCTTTTCTCTCCATACCAAAAACAAACATTGCACGGGTTTCGATTATGATCACACAAATGTGACGTCATATATTTGATTACTTTGGGCGCTGTTCGTTTTAGTCATCACGTGTTATTCCCTCGGGCAGTTGTTTTAATCAACGTTTGAAAACACCTATTCAAACTGAAATGTTTATGCGCATAACTTATCAACCTAACGGTCTGTGTTGTTTTAAGTTCATGACAAACGATTCCAACAAAGCCAACATTTTACCGGCAACATTTTGCCAACATTTGAGCCAATATTTGAACAAACATTTGAGCCAATATTTGAACAAACATTTGAACCAACATTTGACTCAACATCTAGCTACCGTTTTTAGGAAACATTTTGACCCAACTGTTCCAATATCGTGTTGGTTAGTTACTTCTAGCAGGAGTAATCACACATGTGTATAGCAGTACACGAGCTTTTTTAATCAAGACTCAGTAATGACTAACTAAGGTTACWTTGATAACCGGATATATGCATACGTCATATGTGTACATATAAGATTACATAATGCAACACCAACCGTGACAAGAGATCCGCCCAAATGTTGGCTAAAGTTTGGGTTTAATGTTTGGACCGTTGTCATGGATTTTACTCCAAGAAGCGAACTCACAACAGGCGCGCGCAAAGGGAAGAAGCAACAAGATTTAATAAAGCTCATATAGTTTGAAGTGTAATAAAAAAATATTAACGCGGCATGCGTCTTGAAATCCTTGTTTATTCATTGTCTCTGGGCGTACTTTTTTCTTAGTCAGGTGTCTCAATAATAAAGTGATTTTCAACTGTTGTTTTATTTTTCTCGTTTTCTGTTTTGATGGGTGTCCAACAATAAAGAGACAGAGAGAACACATCAGACAATAAAGGTTTAATATTCTTTTATTATAAACTTCTTTATTGAATAAAACACCTTAAATGAAATCAACTCATGCCCACCAAATTATAGTTTTTGTGATAAAAACAATGAAAAACTGACCTAAAAATCACMAAATTTTTGATCACGTGACAAGTCACGTGTCTAATTTGCATATTAACATTTTTTGCCTAAAATAGGCATTTTATCGGGGTTTTATGATTCGTAGAGTCCTAACATAGCCTCTTCTCTTTAATTCCTACATTTTGGGCAAAAAATAATGACCAAAAACCGCTAACTGTTCGTTATTTTTTCGCCAAAAATTTCATTTTTCAGCGGGATCCCTGTGTAAAATGCTAGAACCAGTCCCTGTGTATGTCACCTCTTCATTTGTTGCACGCTGCTGTTCGTTGTGGATGTGTTTCAACGGGTGCAAAACACGATGGTTCTTTTGGCTGAAATTGTACAAGAACAAAAATCGTTATTAGCTCGTGCTTGACCTAACAGAGAGGGAAGTACACGAGAACTATTAAAGGTAAGAGTTATTTCGTTTTTTCCTGCTTTTTTCTTTCGTTTTCTTGTATTTTTGACCAGTTTAAAAGTTTTGAATGTTCGACTCACCGGCTTTGTCCGCCATAACACGTGTTGAATTTGAACCCTGGAAATTCCACTTTTTCTGCAAGAAACAATGAAACCTGTTATAAAAAAACAATCTTAGAAAGTTTTGAACCATTCCCATGTTTAACAATTGGTTATTTTGAGTTTTTTTATATATTTTGAAACATACATGAAATTTGGCTCGTGGTACTTTCCACCTCCCATCCCGGATTAGAACCAAAGAACAACCAAAATCCTAAACAGTATCCTAATAAATTTATCTTATTTTGTTTTGCAGTTATAAAATTATATATTTTATGAAAACTCTCCATAAGACTGTAAGACTGTCTTGTGAGCCTGTACTCAAGATGGCTGTTGATGTATAAACTGACATTCGAGCCTGATAGCCATACTGCACCTCGACTCTAACCAATAATATATCACACCAACCAACAACCAGTATCAATGCTGTAATGATGGTTAACTGCATTAAAACAAAAGCCTTTGATAACAATATGGACTCACCTTGTTAATGTATGAGTATTGCCCTGATTAATTATGATGTGGTAACCTGGTGATGACCCTTTGACCTTCATAAAAATATAGACTCACCTTGTTGCTGTATGAATTTCGAAGTGAATATCAAGAAGATAATTGAACTGGTAACCTGGTGATGACACTGTAGCCTTCACAAGAATATGGACCCACCTTATTGCTGTAGGAGTAATGATGTAAAAATGAAGATGATAATTAAAGTGGTAACCTGGTGATGACACTGTAGCCTTCATAACAGTATGGACCCACCTTGTTGCTGTAGGAGTATTGACCTCAAGCATTGACCTGATTATCAAGGTCTTTAACCCATTATGGTAACCCTGTGGTAGAGGGTTGTTGATCTCAGATGAATCCTTTACAATGTTAAAATACAAAGAACAGATCATTGCTGATTAACAGGTAAATTTTTAATTTTGCTAGAACTGGTACTCAATTATCTAATTCCCTAGGGTTGTAGCTTTGAGTTTGTGTAATAGAACAGAATAAAGAATTTTCATGTTTCCCAGTGAAAGTCCATAGAATTTGTGCTTGCGATGAACATTTGCATTATGGTATCATTTACAGAATGACCTACACTCTTTCTTTCGTTTAATTAAATATCACCAATATTATTACTATTCTAATGAGGAAATACAAATTGAATGGGAAAAAATGCAAAGCATCTTGGTAGTGGAAGTCATAGCTACAGTATATACATGTATGATAGAGTGATAGCACATACTAGGGCTTTCAATATTTTGCAACTACACATTGAAATTTGTTTTTCATTGCCCCCAATCGAAGTTGATCAGTTGGTACATTTATGTTTTTGACTGCTGGCCATGAAAAACCAATTTCACAACAAGCCACAGGCCTTAATCACCCAAGCAGCCATGTTGAAAWGAACAATAGATTCTACCATGCGTAGCCACAAATTCAAGCGCTTGTGAATTAATTTATGCTGGGGAAACAAAGGTTTTATTCTCATGAGAATAAACATGGCCGCCCTGTGATAAAGGCCCATTGAAATATCTGAGTTTGTTTGACTTCTTTTTAAGCAGATATATGTGGTTTTTTCCCATCAGCTCACCAGACATTAGTCAAGTGTCAGCAAATTGACTCATGATGCTGTAGAGTTCAGCCCAGTCAATGTGAATGCCAAGTAAGTTAAACTATATTTTGTAATTGTAATTATATAGAAAGTACCAAACCTATAGTAGTATAGTAGTATAGTAGGCTAGAGTACAAACATATAAGTGTGTAATATAAATAGTGCTAAATTAGGTTAATCCTATTGTTTTCTATTGTTTAATTAGCACTATTTACTACTAAATAGTGCAAAGTGTTACACACTTTTAGTATTCATACTCCATAGCTGAGTTCAGTAAGTGTACAATAAAGTTATGTGTTTAGTACAGACTCAAATATGTGTCTCAAACCGTAAGGGAGGGTACAGTTTTTTATGTAATTATGGTTTCCCTCAGTAAAGTGTATCTATCTATCTAATAGTAATGTAGGCTATAGCAGAGTACAGTAGAGTGAAGTCATTAAACCCCTGAAATAGATATTCGATTAATACACTTTAGTAGCCCCTATTTCCATTGTTCTCTTTTGTGTCTATTTGACTATTACACGTTGACTAGTATTTTTTATTTCACGGGTTAAATGCCTTCCCTCTATTTACACTAAAGTTCTGTGTTCAGTACAGTGACTAAAATACATGTATGTGTATCAAACCTATAGAAGAATAGTATGGTATAGCGGAGTACATTCATTTCAGTTGTATGTTAAGTATGATGACTTAAATTATTTAGCAATTAGTCCTCAAGCATGAATGAGCTATGAGTCATAGGCCATTCTGCCTCAAGTACTCCTTATTTTAGTCAAATCCAACAAGGCGGACAAATATATAGATGCAAAGGATTATGGTTAAAACTAATTTTTTGTTTTTCAAAGACTGCACTTTTTAACTTAAAGCCTACTAGTAGCTCATCCAATTAGAACATAGCATTGATGATAGACCAGTAGATGGATTAACTAAAGTAGTATAGTARGGCACAGCAGAGCACTGTCCTTTACATTTAAGTCCTATGCTTAGTAAGTTTTTTAAACATGTATCTGCCTTTTTCATCAGCTTACCTGATATTAGAGCAAGTGTCAGTCAATTGCCTCATGAAGCTGTCAAGTTTTGGTTGAGTCTGCTTGCAAGGACAGTCAAGTAAGTTGAGCTATGTGATGTCTTTCAATTATGTCAAATGTTTAACATAGGTGAACAAGTGCCATGCCATGCAATATCTAATGCATCACCCATGGCTTTTAGCACTTTGTATTTTAGTGAAATAATCTTTATGTAATTATTATGTCCCTAAACAAATAGCATTTTCCCTTTTTACAGGTGGCTTACTGTTACAGTCAGGTGTCAATATTGATTGTCTTGTGATGATTTCAACCTCTTTTGGGCCAATCCTACACATGCCAGACAAGTAAGTTAAACTAATACAATGAGTACGATGTAGAGTGCATATCATAATTAAGTGAAAAACTTTGTAAGATATTGCACAAGTTTGAACAAATTAGTTCAGTAGACGTCAGTTGACTGTTGACTGACCTACAAAACTTTGCACTCATTTGTAACATTTTGTTAGTTAACATTTTCTGAAAGAGTACAAACACTAAAAGTGTGCAACACTTTGCACTATTTAGCAGTAAATAGTAATCATTAAACAATATAAAACAATAGGATTAGCATTATTTAGCAGTATTTAGTGGTATTTATGTTGCACACTTATAGTGTTTGTACTCTATATGGTATGTACTCTAAGCAGTTTCTCTATTTCCCTTGGTCACTATTTGTGGTTTTTCTGTGGTTAATTTAGCTGAGTGAAGATTGGTAACTAGCCTTAAGTCCCCAGGGGAGGGGGCTAGAAAGTAAAATTAATGATAAACGCAAACTACAGGGCCTTTTTGTTTATACCTTTGGCCATAATACTCATTTGGTCAACTAAAGATATCAAGAGTGCACAAGAAAAAATAGAGATTGGAGACAGCTTAGAAGAGTACATTGCTTACTTCTTTTATGTTTGGGTAAGTTGCAAATACAAGACAAACTTTTGACCATCTTGCTCTATTTTTCCACAGTTACACCCAATCTGTCATATTCTGTTATACCAACCTGTTGTGCTGCAAAGCCTTGTCAGATAATGCAGCACCATCAAGGTCCAGTCAATCAGTACAGAAGACAGTAATCATCCAYCATGGATAAGGATATCATGCTATCAGATTGAGTAACATAGCTTGAAACCTAGATTGAAACCTAGAATTATCCAGAAATTTCACCAATCCAGATATAGATTTTAAAGAAAAAAAATTTGAAATATTTAGAGGATTTCAAAAGATATAGCATTTCAGAGAATTTTTTTTTTAAATTAGATTTTCAAACTTCATTTTACATAAAAGTCTAGGATATCAAAAAAAAAAAAAAAAAAAAAAGAAAGTAAAGAAAGAATAGGTATTACCTAGGCCTGGGATAAAAGAATATATCTAGCATAACATAAGATCAAAAGAAAAAAAGTCTTTCTCAAAAGCAGTTCATGTGAACTATATAGCTTCATGCCTAGGCCTAGGAATTACTAAATACTGAAAATATTTCTTTGGCTAGAGGACTGGTAAGATGCAGGACTCAAAATAGCAAAAACATTTGTCAGGAGAAGTAAATTTTGGCAGTTGGTTTTCTCCTATTTTATTTTCTAAATTTATATATAAATTATCTTCATCAGTAAAATTTGGCTTCTATATTGTCCCATTTTTTGAGTCCTGCAGTCAACTTTATTTCACAAGTACTTTTGTAGGAATGTTTTGTTCATGGTTTACAATCAAAACCATGCATCTTGATTCCAAACTCTTTTCAGCACACTGCATTGACAGAAGGATTTTTTAAAATGTATTAATCAAAAAATACTCTCAGTTCCAACTTTTAAAAAGAATAATTAATAGAAAATATTTAATATTTATTTCATAGGGAAAATATCATTAGCAATTTATTCAGTTACTTTAAAATGAAGTCATTCAGACTTCAAATACTCTAAAATTTAATGCTGTCATTACATATTACATAATCAGTTGACTTCATAACAAGTTTTTTGGTCACCAGTYCTCTAGCCTTGGATATTAGATATAGGAGAGTGTTTTACTAAAAAGCATTTAAAGCTTGTTACTTCCAAATCATCTAATTATCAATACTATATTATTTAAAACAGAACAAACTTTTGCAGTTAGTCAAGGGTTCTCAGTAAAAACAAACATTAAAACCAGACTCATTTCAGTTTTGTTCGATTTTAATAAACTTGTTAACTAACATTGGCTGTTAGTTTAATATATTGGTTCAACAGCTACTGAGAACCCTTCACTAGTCGGAAACACTCTCCTGTATCTAATAATTATCATCATTTATTATTTGTATACCAGAAAAATGAAATACACTTGATACCTCCCACGAGGTCCTACCAGCACCTAACAGAAGCTGCCCCACCAGGCCAGGAAACCATAAAAGGCAGTACAACATTGCTGATTCTCGGCAGAGTCTAACCTTGAGGCCATGATCAGATGACTGCTCTGGTGGTGAAGGTTGTCGGTAAGGATACCAGGCAATGGCTCCTTGCAGATTTCATGGGAGTGCGCTGATGGATGTATGCCAGCCAATGTGCAGGTTAGTGCAATTAGGAGCAAAGATAATCATATCGTGCTATTCATGGGTGTGTACAACAGTGATAACTTTGAGCTGGTGTGCTCAATAGACTTGCATAAGACACCATTCAGACTTTTATACAAGTAGATTATCAAGCTGGGAACACTAGAAGTTAAATCATTTCTAGGTGACCTAATCTTGCGTGAATGATGTTCGGCTAGACTGATACACAAGGTTCTATCATAGGATTGTAATTTAATAAGGTTTTTCACCAGCAAAAACAAGACCTCAGTTTCTGTAAAAAAAATATTATCAAAAAAGTTATTACCAGATAATATTAAAACAATCTTAAAATATTCTTGAATATAAGATAAAAGTGAAAACAAGCAAAGAAAATGAAATGCTGAACATTACAATTCTTGATGTCTTTACAAGCAAAAGTCATTGACTGTAAAGAAGATCTTAAAAAAGTGTCATGAAATTTTTTTCTAAATATCAAAAATTTAACCTACGAAAAAAACGGCAAAATATTAAAGCAATTTTTAAACACAGAAACAAAATCAAAAATAAACTGCATATTTTAAGAAACTGAGGTCTTGATTAAACATTCATGGAGGACTATTACAAAATTGATTGAACAAAGCCAATTAACTAGTAATTAGTATAATTGAAATATTGACCCCAAAAAGCAAGTGACCTAATTGACAGCAAATTGTTTGAATCATTTGAAAATCTTTTGTGCAAAAATTAATTATAAAACGTGCAGTATCATTGATTAAGATATGTTAATTCAAAGACAAAGTGCTTTTGCCAATTCCATGTCAACATAAGACACCTTGGGGAAAATGTCTCTAGCTCAAAACATTTAACATTTGGAATTTTGTCTTTATTGATCTGAATAAAAGCTGCAAAAGGTTTTGTGTTTACGATAAAAGTCTTGTACAATTTGACTCTTATTGATATTATATATTATACATTTAGACCAGAATAATTCAGCTGTGCAAAATCCTGAATAGACAAAAGTGCATACAATGAAATTAAAACCCAAAAAGGTTATGTAATATGGAAAAAAAATTAATAGAGAGGACAAGGTGAGCCATAGAAAAATGGCATTGAAACCACCATACCTCACAACCAAGAAAGAAAATCTCTTGATGAATTGAAACTATCATTACAAGTAAAACCAAGAGTTGTTTTACAATGCCCAAAGCACTTGTATATGCACAAGCTGTCCAAAATTTTCAAACTATATTGAACCAGATGAAGAGTCAAATTTAAAGTTATTTTGAATCAAACCTTCGCAAAAATTAGATCTTATTTTGAGCTCCAATTTGATGAAATCATGATACATGTTGTTGAAAGTCATTACAACTAAAGTCACTTGCAATCATTTTGTATTGGTTTATTACGGCTTATTATGGTTTATTACTTCTGCCAAGAAGTTTTTGCTGGTGAAACAACTGAATCTTAGGTTAAATACAAGAAAGAGATAAAAAGTAAGATCAGATAAGGTTAAACTAAGGATTGAACTAAGGCTCTCCCTTATGGCAAGCCATACCATTCAAAAG